AGTAATTTTCTGTAATGCAAATAATAGCATCATTTTTTGATCATTTTGTTTGTATTACAGGAAATGATCATTGAAGCATAAAATTTTAAGGGGGGGGGGACAAAGATGAATAAAAAGCCATCACGGGGGTTGTCGAACGGAAAGAGCAGGAGCAGAGCCACCTAGCAATTAAAAAAAAAAAAAGGAAATGGTGTAAATCGAAGAAAATATAAACGAGAAGACATATAGTGCATGTTGTTTTATTAATTCATTTTAAAATACTAAAACTAGGTCGAAGCAATTAAAATAATCTTTCAACAAAAATATCATTCAGTAGTTATCGCATTAGAAGCTATTTAAAAACCAGATAAAAATTCTAGCATTCCTTAAAAATATTTGAACGTTGTTACCATATACAATAAGTCTTGAACAATTCTCAAGGTTTTCTCGTGAATATTCTTTTAAATTATTTGCCAAAGCTAAAAAAATGCTAACACTTTTCTTACGTAATATATGTATTTAAAAAAAAAATCGATGTATCATGAATTTTTAAAAGAAATTAAAAAGCAGTTATTTTGATAATATTTTATATTAGCTATATAAGAAATATCAATTTAACTACATTAGTTAAATTATTATTTTTTTTAATCAACTATTAGATTAGTCGCTTATTTTTATAATGCTATAAATTTTGGCTTGACTGTGTGGAAGAAGATTTCAAAATCTTAATTACTAACTGGAGAACAATCGCAAAGAAAAGATGAGAAAAGAGGGAGGTTATAGGGAAGGCACTGGCCCACTAAGGGCTGTCATGCCAATAGAAGAAGAATACTATAACTTTAAATTGTTCTCAACTTCAAGGTGTCACAATACCTACCAATTCTATTAACACTTTGATGCAGATGGAAGACCGGTGTCCTTTTATATATATTTTTCTAGAGCTCCAATTGCAAGCAAAAATTTATTTTTAGTAATTTTTAATTATAAAAGAAATCTGTTAAGATTAGTTGTAGTAAAATATAAAATCCAAAAAAAGTAGTTTCGAATTATTTTTCACTCATATTCAAAAATTCATTAATAATTAGTTTTGCAAATTAAATAAATTTCTAAATTCAATAGCTCTTTTTTTCTTAGATCTAAATAAGTGTAAATTTGAAAAAATATTATTATTTGGAAGTGAGCCGTAATAGGCAGAGTTCATCTTTAACGCAGAAAAAGACACCGGTGTTTCATGCAGAATTTCCTAAAAATAGATTTTTAAAACGCTGAATATATAAAATTTTTCTCTTATTTTGATCTAAATTAATACAAAATAATGAAGAAAGTATGAAAAATATGTTTAATAAAACTTCTGCGTCAAAGAGTTGACCACATAGGGGCCGTTCAAAAAGTACGTACACAAAAATGGAGAAATTTTAACCCCCTCCTCCCCCTTCGTACATAACCGTACACAAGGTCTTACTCTCCCCCCCCCCTTAGAGTACGTACATTTTATTAGTCTACCCCCCTTTTTCATAAAAATTAAAATAATTATGTTTTAAATAAAATTAAATATTTATTTAATATAATTTATTAATTTAAATTATTTAAACAATAACACCCAACTTTTTGTACGCACTTTGTAAAATACCTCCCACCCTCCTCATCATACAAAACCGTACAAAATAGCAAATCCCCTCCCCCCCTTCGGGATGTACGTACTTTTTGAACGGCCCCATAGCCACACACTAAAATCTATTAAACAAATTTTTAAGGGGAGGAAAAAAATATGTATATTGATTTTGACAGTAAATACAGTTAAAGCGTATAATAAGAATAATCGTCGAACGCAACACTAAAATCAGGTGGAAAAAAATTATGCAGGAATTGTTGTTGTTGTCTGCAAAATTTGTTTGATTCAGACTATTTTATTTTATAACCGTCGTTGAACAGCCGACCAATTTTTTAAGTTTACGACTACAAATTTTCAACTCCGTAGCACTTGTAATTTTGAACCCAATCCAGAAGACAAGGAAACTCCTGGATCAAGTATCGGGTGAAATTTGCCCTCGTGGAGGACTTTTTGATGGAATTTACTGCATTCGCGCTACATGGAGATGAAAAATACGAAAATCTCCCTCTAGCCTGATGGCAAGAGGATTCTAACCCATGATCCATCTACCACAGAGGATATTCTACGCCAGCACGGCGGTCGGTGCAAGCCGGGTGCGTAATTCGTATCGACCAGCTATCGGTGGAAGACGAACGCTACATCCCCTGAGCCATCATGACTCTTTCTTATTAAAAATTATGTTCTATAAAAAAGGGCCATGCTTAGGGGTGGGCGAACTGGACGATTGCTCATGGCAGCTAAAATTTATGACCACCGAAAGTTCCGGTTTGTTTAATAATTTTATGACAAGTCTTCCTTTACATTTGTTAAATTTTGGATAAATTTTTGGAATTTCTTGGATATATAATTCATGCGAGTCATTATAATTTATCTTTCCAAATGTGAATTTCATTTCATTTGCTGTTCCTTTATATCAGGAGAGTAATTTTAATGAATAACAGCATAGAACTTTTTATCAAAATTCAACTTTTATGTCATAAAAATTAATTGTATTAACAATTTTAACTGTTGCCGATTTGTGAGTGATTGAAGGGCAATCTTAGACAATCAGCTGAGGAAAATCTCAAGGAAAAATAAAAAGCAGAGTTGGAATGATTTAAAAATATTCAATTTAAAAAAAAAATTGTTGATTTGAATCGTTATTTTAAATCACCGATTTATTTTAAATCACTGATTTATTTAAAAATGTTATGTATGCAGTACTCCTTTAACTAATATATCATACTTAAAGCTGTAATAATAAACAATTGATATCAAATCTCGTTGATAATGAATGTTTTATTCTTAGAAACAAGAAATAAGTTAATAAATTAAGAAAAAAAAAAGTTTTTTTTAAAGAGATTATAAATGTAGATAAGAATGTAACTTTTAAATTATAATTCCAACCCCCCCCCCGCATTATTCATTTCTTATTCTTATGTGCTCATATGTAATATAATTTGTTGTTTTGTTATCAATAAATATATTTCAATTATACGCATTTGATTTTATGCACATTTATTTCCATAGATGTAATTTTAAAAATTAGTAAATATCTAATTGTAAATAAAGACTTGTTCTACCAAGAATAATTTATTTTTTCAAATATTTTCCAATCTAAAATAATTTACTTTTCATTCAAGTTGCTTCTCTTTGCAATTTATTAATATTTTTAGTTTGATTAAAAAATTATAACTGACTTTATTCAGACATTAGTGTACAATAATTAAATAATAATATTAGCCTTTTTATTACTAGTGGTATTAATAATTTTAGTTGAAGTATTAGAGTGTTAAATAATATCAAGTATTATTTATGCGTTTTGTCAGATCGTTAAACACGAAAACAATTTAAAATATGATCAAAAGAAAAATAAATCCAGTGTTTAATATATGCTTTATTATACAAAACATGCTGTTTTATTAATCGTGACGTGATAAAATGTTTCGCTGCCTGAAAGTTTAAAAAAGAACGAAATAAATTTTTGAAAATCATTTTCACAAATATTTATAATTAGTACATAAACAAAAATACTACGCGTATTGTTGTGACAAATATTTAAATTATAATTTATCACAAATTTAATTTATGTCATTTGAATGTTAAGCCTATTTCGATAGAACTACTGAAAAATTACATTAATTCTAAAACCAAATTTATTCAACTCATTTGAAAAGTATTATTAAAAAGATTTTCAAATGAACTCGATGCATCATTTGTAATAGTTTTCTAATTCCAGGATGTTTCCTAAAGAATCTTCTTTTGTTTTAAGATATTTATAAATTGGTAAGTGTGCGTGTCTTGGATAATGATAACCAGCTAATTTTCTTATCATGATTTCGTAAAATTTCAACATTTTGAACAGTTTATTTTTTCAACTGTTATAATATGAAATATAATTTTAATTGTGGATACATATATTAAAATTAATATTTTCCAAAGAGTCAGTTAATAGACTCTAGTCAAAATTTTAATAGAGTTGCAATTGAGCTCTTAGAAATATGTTCCGTGTCGATGATAACTAGAGACTTTAGAGCTCTCATTAAAATGGAACACATTGCTCCAAAAAAAAAGACAAAAAAAAAAAAAAAAAAAAAAAAAAAAAAAAAAAAAAAAAAAANAATGCTGCTTATTGAAAATACTGATTCAATTAAAGCTACTAATTAAAATAGCAAATTAAAAAAAAACAATGGGAAACAGTTTTCGATTTCGTGAATTTCTCCAAGATAAAATTTTATTAACTGGGCAAAAATGCTGAAACTTTTTCAAACCTTATTCATAAATAATAGCTAATTGAAAGGAAACGATTTTCGAGAATTTTTTCTCTGATAAATTTTGATTATTTGACCGTTTCTAGCATTGTTTCGTATTATTCGTCATTAAAGAGTAACTTCCATTACAATTTGGTTTCATTTCCAATAGAAATTAAAAAAATTAAAGGATATTATGTCAAGGTTCGTTACATTAAAAAAGATTAAGAAATTCACTTAAAACCAAAATTTATGAATTAAAATTAAATATTCTTCAATTTTAAGGTGTGTCTCAATGACGTCCCATTTTATAAAACCGCATAGCAACACACTATTATTCGTCAAAACAACTCTTACGGGAGGCCAAATAAAAACATATATATTAATTATGACTGAAAATATATATAATATTCATAATAAAAACAATCATGGGGTGCAGTATTAAAATGAAACGCATTGTTTACTAAAATATAATCGAACCAAAAAGGTACTAAATTCGCTCAGCTGTTAACCACGAGCAACGCCATGCAGTCTTGCCCCACTGTCACCACGGCCCCATGCAACTGTCATTCTATGAGCACGTGCTCAGCACCTTTGGAAACATGCAGTGTTCACGTGAACAAAGCGCTCCCATTGGCCACTGCAGCCGTGCCCTCGAAACACCCGCGATTCTGATTCGTTCGCCAGTGGCATGCCCACATGGTCAACTCAAATCAGCCTTTGTACACAAGCCCGTTTTCTTGTGAATATAAGCCAGCGTTAAAGCGGGAACCGACTTTTTAGTAAGATCAGAAAGTAAATTTTAAATATAATTTGAATGTTGAAGTATTATGGCTAGCATTATGTTTTCTCCACCAAATACACCCCCTCATATATTCGCTGTAAGTACCGGAAAAAAATTAGATCTCATATACTCAATTATTTAGTATCTGAATTAAGTGGAATAAAATGTTTTTGTTGGTGTGTTATGATGACACAAAGATGATTGTAGAGTGTTGTGACAATAGCAAATAATTGGCATAACACAAAACAAACATCTAAATTCATTAAAAGAAGGAGATTGTTAATATATTTGTTTAAAATAATTAGTTTTGATTGTGAAGCGCTTCGCTTTCCTATCTTTTCTTACACAATTAACTTTTTAATTATCCTTAACTTTAAAAATCTCATTCTTTTTAATTAATTTAATTTTGTTATTAATAATTCTTTAATTTTCAGCATATTTTAATATAATTAATTTGAAGATGAATTTATTTTAATGAAATAGAACTCTTCAGGATTTTAAAATTTAATGAATTTTCTTAAAATTATTTTGTTTATAAAATGTTTAATAGAAATTTTTCGTATAAAAAATGTATAGTTTTCATGTAAAAACAGCAATTTTTTTATTATTTTATTCAGCTAATGTGGTTTTATTGTGTATCGCAAATTGATATTTTTAAATGGAAAACAATTTGTGGGATAACTAGTAAATATTTTAATCTAGACAATTTTGTAAAATCTTTTTTAATTTAACAGTTTATAAATAAAATAGAATAACTTATTCAGTTATTTATCTAGGAGTGTATAAAAAAATCTTTGTCACTGTTAGTTAAACAATGTTTGCGGAAAACATACCTGTTTAAATCTGCAGAATAAGTTTCCATTCTATATTTACAGTTCACCATAAATTCATAATTACTGTTCATTCATTTGTGTTCTTAACTCGGAAATTTGAGCTTTTTCAAAATGCTACCGAACATGTTCTTAAAACCTTAAAATATGAGTGTTTACATAGAGCAACTTAACATGTTCTGGAAATGTGTTTTTTTAAATGGAACTTAACATGTTTTTCCTACTAATTCTTTGTAATTGGACAAATTTTAAAAACTAATAAAAAATAAATTTTTAGAGTATCAAGTTAAGATATTGTCTTGATATTTATTTCTGTAAATTAATCTAGTTATTCTGAAAACTTTAGTTCATAATTTACATTGAAATGTAAATATACAAGATGAATGGTTAAAAACAAAACATTTTTTATTTAATTTAGTAAATTTATGTGTGATTAAACTAATTTCTAAGACTGTATTAAATATATACATGCTACTACATAGCAAATAAGTATAACATAGTGATATTTCTCTAAAAGAAATGCAAATACAAGATCTAGAAAAATTCAGAAATATCATTGTATACTTCTCTGGGGGGGACCATCATCCACTTTCAAGGGCCAAAGTCACTACTAAACTATTTCATTAGTTTTATATTGCATTCTTTTTAGTCCAGAGTCCAAGCATGTCTATCTCTAATCTTATATTTAATTAAAGAAGTATGTCAGATAAGAATAGTGATAAGTTTCCTCCACTCTTCCTGTACAAACAACAGTGACAAAACTTGACTGATAAGTTTACTTGGGTGCTTATTTACTTCTTAATTCAGCTGTTATTAATCAATTATTTTTTTTCAAAATTAAAAGAAAAATAAAGATTAAAAAATATTGCAATTTAATCCATTTATTCAAGGGGCAAATTATTACTCCCACAAAATTTGTAGAAATAATATATATTTACTTACAACATTGAAGAAGAATTAAATATGTAATATTAAGTAATAAAGTTAGCTTAATTCTGAATATTTATTTATATTATACTTTTAAATAAAAATAATAACTCAACCAATAAAAAAGAATTGACTTGCACATGTGTTGAATAAAAAAATATCATGTATATAAATAATAAGCACTTCAAATTAATTTTTTACATTTTGTTGTACTAGAAATTTTGAATTGTTTGTCCTTTTAGTCAATACAACTTAAGTCAGTGACAACTATTTAAAATTTCGAATACTTTAAAAAACAAAATATTAAATTTAAAAAATATCAAAAGATTTTTTGATAAATTAAAAATATAGTATCTAACTCAATCTAATATAAACATATTTGTAATATAAGCATAGAAAGAAGTTAAAATGCATATCTAATTACAAATAATCAAATTTATATTCGAAATATAATTTATAAATTTTTATAATTTATTTTTTAAATATTATTGTGTAACGACTTTTAAATTTCCTATTCTCAGTTCCTCAATTTTCATTAAATGCACGTTAATTAACTTTCATATTTTCTTCATGTTTTATTGTGAGATACGTTTTTGTGACTAGGCAATGTACAATAAATAAACGAATATTTAAAAATTAGTATTCTCCTTAAAAAATTGTTATGCATTATCCTTGATTATCCACAAATGGAACAGAAAATCAATTATAGAAATTTATAAAGAAATATATTAAAATATTGAGAATTAATTAAAACCATGAAAACATTAATTTTTCATTTTTTTTATATTTTAATTAGTTAACTTATAATTTTTAATTTATAAGTGTTGTGGTACTAGAATTATTTGAATTCAATCTCTTGCGCAAAGTGTTCCTCAGCACAGTAAGATAAGAGTACATGACCCACGGCAGACTCGCAGCGCCATGACAACATTGTCGCATAACTTTACAGAGTTCTTGCAGAAAGATTTTTCTTTCGAAAAGTAAAAAAAAATTACTTTTCTTTTCCTCAAAAATTAACATGTAATATTTGAATCGTACATTTAGACAGTCACATTTTGACACACTCAATTTTCACCAATAGTATCATAAATCGATGTAATGTTTCGGCTGTATTCTCGGCAGTTATTGATTTTCCCGATATATTTCAAACAATATCGGTCGTCGATCTTCTTTTCGGCAATTATTCGATCAATTAACAATATTCGAAGAAGAAAATAATTTGTACACTTCCTCACCCCCAGCAAAATGTGAGAGTATCACCCATAATATTAGAATAAAAAATTATTACATGTTCAATTAAAAAAAATTAGTTTTTTTTTCTTTTAGTAAGCACAGTGCTTTAGTTAATTTAAATTAATAAGTTATTATTAAAAGTATCTTGCAGAAAGATATTAGTGCTAGAGAGTTTTGTCGTAGAAAGCTAAAAAAAAAAATTCTGCCATAGGAGAATTTGAAATTTTGTATGGATGTTATGAATTAAACTATTATAGTTTCAACCTAGAAACAAGATTATTTTATTTTTTTAATTTAATATAAAGTTTAAAGACTTCTGACTGAAGCTTGTTCATCTTTATTTGGGTTATTACTTTAAATTAAACTAATTTTAACATGTTTTAATTTCAGGAGCACACATATCCTTTGTATTCTTCGAATTCAACACTAGACAACCCAGATTTGGATGCTGTTCAAACTCTACTTTATATGAGCAAACATCAATCTATACATCATTACAAAATAAATAATACAGAGCAACAACATCATGGGAATCTCACACCATCTCATTCAGAAGATGAGCTAGAAGATATCACTCCGAAAACTCCTCTTCAAGAATCGGAATTAGCTAGGGTAATTATTTTTCTTCCTAAAGTATAAATATTTAAATTTTTTGGGAAGATTTCCGTATTTGTATCTAAATAAATGCCAAATTTTACAGTATGCTGCCAGAAAACTTTAAAAAAAAAAAATAATCTCAGAAGGGTATAATCAAAGTTCCCTTAAATAAAAAACGACTCCTTCAGTTTTGAAGGGCACTAATTTTGCAAATTATATGAATTATATTTAGCTGCTAGATTTTAGTGCCCTTTAAAAGGGGGTGGGCCACCCTTCTAAAAACACTTTAGAAAAAGACTGATATAACTTGTATCAATCCCTAGCCAAACATCAACATTTATATTTCTTTTAAAGTTTTCCAAGTTTAAAATCTTTTTAGGGCCTTGGCGTTAGTAGTTGGAAGTGAACAGATACTGATACAGAAATATCCCCATTTTATTTAATAAAATGGTATATTTTTTCAAACTGGTATATCAAAACTAATTGATATATATTTTATATTCTATAGCTTCTTCTTACAAACACTCCACCATCAACACCAGTTCCTCCAATTACGGGAATGCCAGTTTCAGTCATTGTTAAGGCACCTCCAAGCAAGTCCACCTGTGCATTTACAAAAACTGTTCAGACTGATAGTGTTATTTCTTCATCACAAACTGTAAATATATCTAAAAACAAACAACTAAAGGAACTTAACCCCTCACCTGTGCCTCAAATACGTAATTCTCTACCAACTGTTTATACTAAAGTAACTCCTGTTGCAACTGTGCTTCCTATTAGAGCCATAGATAGTAGTCCTTACTCTAATACTTATGTCACACAATCTACAAAACCTGTGGCTATCGCACCAAAAATCTCTACTTCAACAGTTATAATTCCTGCTGTTGCTAACTGTTCACCTGCTCAATCTCAGACTCTAATTTTTACCCATGTTCCTCAAACACATAGTTCAAATATGTTGTCTACTTCTTCAACAACATCACCTGTGATGCAATTAGTTGTTACGTCTTCACCATCTCTTGTGACGAATGTGATATCGTGTTCTGCTAAGGAACGGCAGAGGCTGATTGCTCCCGCACCTCTCTTGTTGACCAGGACATCAAAAGCTTCTGAAGATACTCGCAAAAGAACATACCAGTGTACTTATCCAAACTGCAAGAAGACTTATTTCAAAAGTTCCCACCTGAAAGCTCATTTTAGAACCCACACAGGTAAATACTTGTCAATTTGGGTATTAAACTTAAAAAGGCATGTTAAACGCTTAAAACCTAAACTTTAATTCAGTAGCAATATTTATGAAATACTTTCTCATTTTCAATATTACTTGATCCTGTAAAATTGGTTATTTAACAACCTATATAGATAACAATTAAAACATTAAAAGATTAGGGTCTATTCAATTATTATACAACCAAACTTTTAGTAATTTTAGACACTTCCACACATTTGTGAGAAAAATTAAGAAAATCACACTCTTTAACCCTTTCTTAACTTTTTTCCGAATGTTAGTTTTATTTTTCCAAAATTCAATTTTCCCTAAATTTTATAGTTTAAAAAAGATTTCTTACGAACAAAGTAAGTAGGTCGTGTAAGTACAATTTGTATATCCCCTCTTCCTTTCTCAGCAAAAATAAGCAAATCATAAGCTGTATTAAGTGATTCTTGGTACATAAATGTAACTTAGTAACATAATAACTTCCAACTGCAATATAGATACCAATTGATAAGCATAGAGACAGAATAAATTTATGTTAGTGCTACAAGGTTTGATACACATATATGTATATAATTTAAGACAAGCATTGTGAAGTATAAGTTGGATGTTTCAAAATTAATTCTAAACAGAATATTTGAATGCTCTTTTACAAATTAGTTTAAATTTTTAATTCTTTACAATTCATATAAAGAATTATACATAATTTTAGTAATTATATTTTGGCAGTTAAAGTCAAAAAATAATATTACTTATATGAATCAATATTCACTTTTTTGATTGTGGGATATTATATGAATTAATATTTGTATTTTAGGTGAGAAACCTTTTGCTTGCACTTGGGCCAACTGCAATAGAAAATTTTCCAGATCTGATGAGTTATCACGACATAAGCGCACACATACCGGAGAAAAAAAGTTTGTCTGCAATGTTTGTAGCAGGAAGTTCATGAGAAGTGACCACTTGGCAAAACATGTTAAACGTCATTCAACTGGAAGATTAACTAATATAAAATACTCTAAAGACATTGCTCAAAAATCAGATTTACGAGCTGATATCATTCAAAACCATTGTTCTCTTTCCATTGCACCCTCAGTTTTGCAAGTCATTATACCTGCAGCTCACTGAAGACTCTTACTCATGTGAACTATTTATTGTAATCATCAAATTCATTGTTATTTAATTTCATTACTTGTAAATATTTACTGTATACCAATGAGCTTAAACAGTGATGTTTGAATTGAAATCATTTAATGTCTTGCAGTGTCGTTTTAATCGTGTGAATAAATAACTTTTCAATATTTTATATGAAATTATAATGGCTTATTACTCAAAAATCTGAATAGATTTTTCTCTCATATTTAGTTCATTTAACGTTATATAGTAGTATATGTAATTATGCATTTTTATTCATCCCTTAAAAAATTAAGAAAATATAGTTGTGTGAAATTAAATTGAATGATGCAGATCTGCTTTATTTTACCTCTATCGAAGATACTAAAATAGACAACAGGAATAAGAAGTGGACTAGACCTATACCGCAAGATTTTATCTTAACTTTTATTTTTAAATTGGGAAAAAAGCTTGTATGATTTTAAGGAATATGAATTTTTGGAAAATAACTTAAAAATGCATATATCCATCTCAATCATATTGTACTCTTTGAAAAGATACTAATAATATATTTAGAATATTAGCTTTGTTTAAAATACAACTTTTATTATCATTAAATTTAAAATAATTTGAATGCATCTTTACTTCAGCACTGTTGTATTTAGATATTTACAATTCCTTTTATGTCTTATTCTTATATACTCTTATCATAAATGTATCCTGTATTTTAAAATTGTACTTAGCTCTTATGATAGCTATCTTGGTGATCTGAAATATAAGATTATTAAATTAACATATAAATGACACTTCCATACTTCTTAACATTAAAATAAGTTACACAAATTTTGAAGAAAAAAATTAAGTTCCACTTAATGGTTATTTTAAATTTTTCAATATAATAACTACATTTAGAAGTTTATTAAATATGTGCAGAAATTTTTGAAGCTATAAAATCTGAAGTCAATACCAAATTGAATGTTCTTCATACAAGTCAAAAACATTTTAATGTATCTTAAGTTAAAAAGTAATATCTCCTAAAAGAATTTTTTTATAAATTGAAGTAACATCAAAATTGCTGTTTATCAAATAATTTTTTTTTAAAAAATTCTTGTATATCACATAGCTAAACTGATTGTCTTAGATTTGTATGTTTTGACTTTTAAATTTCTAAATATTTTATGAAATTTTTTATCCATGGATTGATTATACTTCTTTAGTAATGCAGTCATTCATAATCTTATTTTTTTTTCTATTATATAAATGATGTTCTTCCAATTCTATATGTTTTCATAATTACTGAAATGAAAATTGTTATTGTGTATTTGTAGAGTATCACTTAACTGTAGTTATCAAAAATAATAAAAATATTTATTTATAAATTTAAAAATTTTAGTCATTCTTGTATACTTTTTCCAACACTATAATACAATATACAACAGAAGTGGAGCGCAGCTTCCTAATTACTTCATTTTCAATGTAAATATTTACCTCCATTTTAAGGAAAGAGGTTTAACTGGTTCTGCTATATAAGCCTTGCTTGAAGAGGAACAAGCAGGCTTCAAAACCAGTATTTGTTCAGATTTTGGACAAAGATAAGACTATTTATATTTGATTTGGCTGTAAGTTAGGTGAACAATTAATTTTGCTGAGTCACAAAATGAAAAGATGATTAATTATCCATTATGTTATTAATGTTATCACATAATGCTTTTACAAACTTAAATTTTGAAGTTTGCAATTTATATTCAAGATCTGACACATCTTATAAAAAGATTTTATGCTAACTAGCTACAAATATTCTGGTCTTCTCCACCTTAAGAACAGTTTTTATTACTTAATTTAATGAAATTTTACATATAAAAATTAAAGAGCTCATAAGGGGATTTTACCTGTAATCAGTTGCCAGTTCTAAGACCAAAACATTCTTAGAATTTAAGTTAGGGTCTTAAAGTAATAACTAAAAAATGAAGAAAAAAATTATGTGAAGATGTAAAAGAACTTACAGAAGCAAACAGCATTTTGAGATAATATGGACATTTGGATGAGCCTGATGTTGATCAGAGCTTTTATAGAATATCAGTTATGTACAAATGATAAAAAGACTTTCTTGAAGCAGTTATAAACACATTTATTTATATTCTAGAAGTCGGTAATTCTTTGTTAGAAAAAAAAAAAAGTTTTATTAAAATATGTCAGCAAACTTTTTGCAGGTAAGAAAATGTTTATATATGATGTAGCTTACAAAAAGATTTTTTTTTAAAACTTGAAGTTTTTCAAATTTAACCATGAAAATGAAATTTTCGTTAAATATGAAATTACTCTAAGTTACCACAGTTTTTTTTCTTCTTTTTCGTATCATAATATGAAAACTACTAGATAAATAAAAAACTTTTTGCAGACAGCTAACTTTTACTCCTCTAAAAATCTCCATATCTAGCTTTAAGTTGCAGTTTAAACTCAATTTGGTTGAATAAGGACGAAGCACTTTTAACAACAACCATCTGTGTAATAGAGTTGTAGGAGTTTCTCTGAATAAAATCGAACATTTTCGTTGGGTAGATTGTCATTCATAAATAGCGTTATAAAGTATATAAGAGTCTCCTCTAACACTTGAAATCTTCACTTTAAACATTCATAAACAGGAAAAATAATTTTAAAAAATGATAGAAAACTAAGATAAATAATTTTTTCGGTTATCTTCCGCAAAGTAGTAAGTTTTAATCTACTTACTTCTGCATTGCTCAAGTATAATTGGAAAAAACGGAACTAAATCATGTGACTTGTTTCTGGAGGTTTCTTTTTTGATTTTACTTCTGTGAACTTTACGTTTTGGCATCACTATTCATACTTGTCATTTCACTGCTTTAATGTAATAATAATGTTTACATTTTGAGCCAATTATTATATTTTTTAGTTTATTTATGGTTTCCTAATAATCAAAATGCATTAAAAAACATTTTTATTTGTAAACAGTTTAATAAAAAAAACTGCTTGGAGCATAATCATTGAGAAAACGGGTTGTTTTTTTCGGATTCATCTAGTGTGACACCCTCTGTTACAAGTAAATAAGACCCACTTGCGGGATATTTATAACGATCGTATCGTTTTTAGTGTAACAACTTTAAATTTAATTTATTTATTATCAAGTGTTATTGTTAAAAAGTTTCGAGCTAAAATTTTGTATTGGGAGCTTTCAAACTCGTTATCAGATTAAAACTCATATTTTAATACTCTGTTTTAGTGAAACACCCTTAATACGTGTGTATAAACGAATCTGAGCGTAAAATAATAAAAAAGATAATTGTGTGAATTCGTTTTTGCTTGTTTTTAAAATAAAGAATAGCTACACTTTTCTAGTGTTGGGAGTTCGAAATTAAAAAGTTACTTTTAAATTATGAACAATTTTAATATTAAAATGTCGAACCCCGTTTTAGAATGAATTCAGCATATACCTTGATAAAATTTGTCTGTACCTTGTTTATTATGGAATGAATAAATTTTTAACACTATGCATATGTTTGCATTAAGATGATACACTACATTTACCATAAAAGTTGAAAATTACCTAAAATTAAATGCTTTTTGTTGTTGTTTGATCATCATTTATTTTTAAAATTTGTGCGGCCCATTTCATGCGTTGGTCCTTATACTTCAGAATTTCCACAGTTATTCTTTTCCTTATTTCTAGGGAAAAGAGATTTTCGGAATTGATTTCAAAGCCAAGATAAATGAATAAGTTCACCTTTTCAAAGTTGTATTCTCCAATCTTGATGTGGTTTTCACCTATAGTTTGACTAATTAATGATTTTTTTAATTTATTTTTTTCTAATTAATTTGGCTACCTGTCAGTAGTAGATCAATTCACATTCTTTCGATTACCACTCTGTTCTGTTAGCTTTTATATTATTATTTAATTTATAATTAACTAAGTGAACATATCACATAACTGACCATATTACATCACACTTGTAATCAAAGAGTTTCTAGCAATAATGTTTTTTATAATAATTGGTCTTAGTTTTCATGTCCCTTTTAACATTTAAATGCTTAAAAGAGCCATGTATGCCCTTTACCTGAAAAATTTGAGTACTGGTTTTAATCTCTGATTAGTAAAAAGAGAATTAAAATATTTTAAATGTGTATATTTTTAAAAGCAACAAAATAAATTAAAATCTGAGCTATTTTTAAGATCACTAAATGTTAAAAAAAGGTATGATATGTAGAATAAATAAAATCTGTTTATAAATCTGACTATAATGTTTATCTTTATTTTTTTTAAATATTCTACTTTCTAACCAGAACACTGATGCAAAGTAAAATTTTCGAAGTAATTTATCGAGCATTTTTTTAAAAAATAATCTGTAAAATAGTTTGAGGTTTATTTATCATTTTCTATAGTGATTTATGAATTTTTTCTTTTTATTTATTATATTAGAACTTTTTTAATTTTGGTTTCCTTTTTAGCATGGCTAATTCTTATAATAATGGTTATCAATACTCCACCTACAACAGTCCTGACTCTTCCTCGGGTAAGTATATTTATTTAAAAAATGTTTCTGTGCTATATATCAGTTTGTATCAAAAAGTACTCAGTAGCAATAATACTAATGTTTTTAATAATTTTCTTTAAACAGCACTATCTTATGCAATGCCTCAGAATAAAAGTAACTTAGAAATGAATTTAGATTTGAGTTTTACTTGAAAATTATTAAATTTAAAATTAATCTTATAAAATTCATTTAAATATCTTCATAATAATTCTATTTACATGATATTTTTTCAATAAATATGGTGTCAAACAATCTGTTGTTTTCAGCGAACATATTTAAGTTGAATCTTATTGTTGTTATTTAAGGAAATAATAATAAGGGTAATATAATGGATTAACAAAATGTACTAATACAGTACAGAACCCGTTATCCGGAAATCAGAAAACCGGAAAACCAAAAAACCGGAACAAAATTCGATAAATTTTCCCGCAATTTTTAAAAAAAATTTTTTTTTTTCCTTATAAGATTTTAGGATTTTTCCTTCTTTTTTGAAAGATGTTTACCTTACCATCATTTCAAAAATAATCATTAGTGTATTACCTCATCGTTTCTTCTTATTTTTAAGATTATTTCCAATTTTTTTTTTTTTTTAGTTGAGTTTAACACTAAAAAAACGGCTTTTTGTAGCGATTCAGAAAACCGGAAAAATCAGTTATCCGGAATAGTGATAGTCCCGATCGTTCCGGATAATCGGTTCTCTACTGTATATTCTTTTAAAAATGTTTAGTTCTTAAATTGAAATATTTTAAAACAAATTATTTTTTTGATTCTGTATTGAATTGGTTTATCCATGAGCGAAAACAATTTCGTAAAGAAATTAATTTTCACTACCATAAAATGATTTTACTACTATAAAAGATTATATTTTGCAAAATGCATTGTAAATTTTCTCCAAATGTTAATCAGTTATTCATTCAATTGTCCAAATATTTATTATGTGACTATGCCTTTGAAATTTTTGAGAGAAAAAATTATAAAACTTTTATTTGAATCTATTACTAAACAGAATATTATGGATTTTTATTATTGTTCTTTTATTTTTATATATAATTGTTATTAAATATGCATACTTAAATGATTTAGCAAATTTAATTTTTTCTTTTTTTTTCTAGGTGGATATGGAGAATTTACTCGGTTGTCAGATACCATCAGCACTAACATTCAAAAAGTTTCTCAAAATGGTAATAGTAAAGCTGTTTTTTGCTCATTTTTTAAAATTGAATTATATTTTCTAATTTTTTAGAACTTATACTCGAAACTATTTTAAAGTGTATTATTATTTGTATGTTGAAATTATAAATGTTTACATCTATAGATTACAATATGTTATTTCAAAATTTATTTTTATAATTGGTTAATTTTCATTACTACTACATTAAAGGATAAATTTTTTTAAATTTTATTTTCAATATATACAAAACCTATTAAAACATAGGTTATATATTTTCTAAAACTTATACTATATATTTTCTATATATTTTCTTTTTATTAAATATTTTTTAAAACTTATATTTTTTGGGTCAGCTGTATTGTGTCATTATAAAATGAAGTTTTTAATTGTTGTAATTCTTTTAAACAGGTTTGTGTTTTTGTAAATCAAGACAGTTATTAAAATATTAGTCTAACTATTGAAGATCATTTTATTATTATTTTTAAACGAGTTATGTTAAATATATTTAATACTTTGTTTATGTTAAATATATTATTTTAGTGGCTTCTATGCAGAAGTTGGTGAACCAACTTGGAACTCCTCAAGATTGTGAGAGCTTGAGATCACAGTTGTAAGTTCAAACTTATTATATAGCTTCAAAAGCTTTTTTTTTTTATTAATTACTTTGTTTAACTTTTTTGGGGATGGTTGGTACAACAGTTGTTAAAACAAGTGAAATGTTTCGATTCCTACTTTTTTATAATGAATGAGTTCTATTGATATTTTTTATTAAATAGATTCCATTGCAACAATTTTAAAAACAAAACAAATGTGGTCTGACAAAAAATTAATATTTGCCTTTTATATTCCAAATATTATATTACTATAACTGTTGTACCAGCTGTCTCCAAAAGATAAGCATATGTGAAACTGCTTGTCATTCAAACTGAATTTAAATGACTGAATTTTTAGTGTATTGATTTTTCCACTTTTGAAAAGGCAATTATAACATATTAACAAGTACAATATACAGTTACAGAAAAAGTGTGAATTCTTCAGTATTTATTTTTCTTTTTTAAACAGAAACCTTATTGAATTAACTTATATAATTTTTTCCTCTCACGTAAGAGCTTAGCAGGAATTATTGCTAATGTGAATTATCATAATTAATTTTTTCTAATATATATTTTTTATTAGTATAATTGTTAGTACTTGGAATATGACAGAGAGAGTACATATTTAATTTAACAATAAAAACAAGGCTCGATACAAACAAAGTATTTTTTGAGGTATAAAGCTCATATAATATTGCTCGCTATACTTTAAAGTTCTTGCCTTGAACAAAGTACAAGATCTGCACCAAGCTTTCAGGTTATATATATATATATATAAGAAGTCAAATTTAATTCACTTAAATTTAATTAAATAAATTTTTTAGAATGATTCTGTGATGAGGAATGACACAATATTAGTGCTTAACTTTTAAGATATAAGAATTTTTTATGATTTTAAATAGCTGTGTTTTTTATTATTTAAGATATTTGTAAAGTAAAATGTAGTTAATCTTAAATATTTTAATTTGACATGTTAATTTGAAGCAAAGTGAAACATTTATTACTCAGATAATTTTTACTTGCATAAATAATGTATGGCATAATATATAATTTTTTTATGAAATGTGTTTTTAATTGCAAAAAATGTTAGTTCGCATCCCATTATTATTATGAATGCGCAACTACGGATTCATATGCTTGAGAAAAAAATCTGGTGACTGTAAAAAACTCAAAAAATAATAAATTTCAGGAGAAATCAAAATTTTTGCTAAAAACAGAGGAAACTTGAAACTTTAGAACCTTTCTTGCTTTTTAATGGATTTAAGTTGTAATTGATTACTTAAATCCCTTCCTGTAACAGTTAATTTTCCAATGCTAATGTGTAATTTTTGTTATGCAGCAATTTTAGGTTGCAAAATAGCTTCAATTGATACTTTGAAAAAATTTGTTTAATGTGATGAAAATGTTCAATAAATTTTTTTTCAAAAATGCAATTATTCCTTTAAGGAGAATTTTGATTTATATTTTCAAACTAAAGATACGAGGCATTAATTTTTTTCAAAAATTTAAGGTGGTTAATAATAGTCTTTTGTTTGAAATTCTTTAAAATGTTAGGAATTGTTTTAACTGGAGAGCTAAATATGTAGGTTTATCATTACCTTGCATAATATAACCACATTGCATGCTGAAATAATTATGAATTTTTTTTTATTGACAATACTAATGTTTAATTTTTCATGCATTTAAGTTAGGTGTTTTTCAACCACTATTATTTCATATTTTCATAACTGATGTAACCTTCTGTTGTGTGTATTTTTTTTTTTAGTGTTATACGTTTGGATAATCAGGGAAGGTTTTTTCGGAAATTAGATATGAATGGTGGCTTATGTTGTATGAACAATATATGAATTATTTAGCTATAGTCTATTAAAGACCAATAATAGATATTAAAATATTTTTATGAAAAAATTTTGTAAGCATATATAACTTATGAGATATTTGGTAAAGTAGAAATATTGATCAACTTAACTTTTTTAGCAACATTTAAAAAAAAAATTTCTTACTTTTAGGCATAAAGTCCAGAGCTATACTAATCAACTTGTAAAGGACACTAATAATCATTTGAAAGAACTATCTCTTATACCTAACCCACCAACTGCAAATGAACAAGTAAGTAAAAACAGATTTGCATAGAGAGGGGAGCTGATTTTCTCCTTTTTTTTTAAGGTAGGCAAATCACTGAGACACATGTTTGCATAAAATTTGAGTAGACCTCAAACTTAATAGAATGATTTTTTTAAATATCTTTTACTTATTGGAATGAAAAAAATCCTCTTTTTGGAAATCTTATTTCATTTTAATATTCTTTGGCTGCTTTTGTTGCACTTCTGCTGTTAAAAATTCTATCACACATTTTTTTTCTTCATATTTGTTTACTGGTCTATACAACTTTTTTTAAGTTGTATATTTTTTAATTTGCATGATGAATTTTTTAAAAAAGTAAATTGAATTTTAATACTATTTTTGACTAAAAATTTGAAATAAAATTGATAAGCACATATATTCACGGAACATTTAATCAATTATTAACTCATTTTAAGCATATCAAAAAATCAAATATTTTTCAGATATTTAAGAATATATATGTATATATATATCTATATTAGATTCAAAATTCCTTGTTATACTTAAATATTTCCATCTATCAATAAACATATATTGTTAGGTTTTTAGAAGTTGTGAAAATATCAGTCAATGTTATTCTCATCTGTTCAAATGCTTGATGGTTTTTATACTTTTTGAATATTTTCTTATTAATTATTTTATTTAGTGAAACATTCATATTAATTTAGAAACAGAGAAAGGTTTTGAAAGATCGTTTGACTACTCAGTTCTCTGAAGCTTTGAAGAATTTTCAACTTTCCCAAAGAAATGCCGCTCAAAAGGAAAAAGAGAGTGTTATGCGAGCAAGAGCTCATTCCGGTCTTAGTGGGGTATGTTTTTGTTTTAATCTTTATGAAATTAATAAGCTAAGCAATTTTGTCAAATTTGTTAATAAATATTGTTTCAGATTTTCTTTTTATATACAGTAAGCTAGTAATATATATACATGTAAAATGGAATGTCCCACAGGAAAAACATAGGTAGCAGATAGGTTAATTAAAAGTATATTTTATTTTAACATTATTAGAAAGAGAGAGCAAAGGAATGAAAATCTCTGCAGTTTGGTGTGCTCTTTTGTAGTCAGGTTTATTTAGGGAAAAAATTGCAAGAAACTCCCTAATTATACGAATGTGATAAAAAAGGAAAAATCAAATTAATTGAATGGCTTTCATATTTGATGTCAGACATTTTGAGGGATAAAAATTTATGATACATATAAAAAGTATGCAGGTAAACAAGGTATAGGTATGATAGGTATAAGAAATATTATAAATTCAATACAAAAGTAAATTCTTCAATTGGAAATGAAATATTAATGAAACAAAAAAAGGGTTTGGTTTTGAATTAACTGGAAATAAATTAAAAACTATGAATTATCTATAAAGATTTTAAAGATGCTTTCTATAGTACATACATTTAATTTAAAATTATAATATCGCTACTGTTTTGGTAATTTTTGATTAGTTACTCAAGTTCAGAAAATTTACGAAATTAGGTTTGTAGAAAAAATGGTAAGAATTCTCTGGGAAGCAAGAAAAAATTTAAATATTTAAAAAAAAAACGGACATTAAATGCCGTACCAAAAAAAATTATAGTCTTTATTCGTGATTAATATTATCATCAATTTCAGGAATGTTTCTACGAGCACAAATTTTATTTTATTCAAACTTGAAACTATTCCTAGATTAGTAAATTCTACCTAGTAGTTGTCAAGGAAAGAGATTATTAAATGCCCAAATGCAATTGTTTTACTCATTGGCTCTAGAACTCCTTTTTAGAAGAGCTGTAATATAAGGAGCTTACTCATTGATTTTCTACTTTTTTTGTGAGCATTACATCTTTTTATTGTTAACAAAATACAATTTTTTTAAAATCGTATTCTACCCTTAAAATCTTTCATCTAGAATTCAATGGATATATTTTTTGAAATGATTATTGGTTAACACATTTTTTATTAATTTATTTTTAGAACCCGTTTGGAGATGATGCACCAGCCAGTGGACAAAACCTTATTGACCTTGCTAGGTATGTAATTACTAAAATGTTTTTGTTCATCAAATTTACTTGGAGTCTTCTAAATTTGTGATGACACTTTAGTTGAATACTTTTATACTTTAGATCAATACTTCAATGAAATACTTTAGCTCAGTCAGTATTTTATTCAATTTAAAATTTTTAATTTTTTATCCCTTGAAATATGGCTTAAAATAGACTTCTATATAAAAAGTAATTAAACTTGTTTAAAAAAAAAAATTTTTTTTTTTTTTTTTTGCTTGATATACTTACTATTTCTAATATATTTACATATTGCTTTTCAGTGCTTTTTGTTATACATAAAAGGAAAAATTGATTTGTTAATTATATTTAAATAATTTCTTTGAAATGAGACAAGAATTGAGGCTTTAATTTCTTCTACTTAATCTAGAAACATCATAGAAAAATAGTTATATTTTTTCTGGAAGTATTAGTCATATTCACAAAACTTTGCTTTGATTTATAAACTTTAATATTTTTCTAAGTTACTACAAAAAAAAAGTTTTATTTAGTTAATAAAATAAAATTGTGCTAAAAGCCTTTTTTGCAATTATCTGGTTATCTTTTTTATGTGCGATAATAATGAAGCCTTACTTCTTAGTCTAAAAGTATTTGAATAAGATAATGTTAATTAATATTCGTAATCTCTCCCCTCATCTTCCCTTGTGCATAGTTACTTTCCTTTCTTTTCCTCCAGACATAGACACGTACCTAGGTTTGCAAAACCCTTACCCGTATAGTCCACGTCTGGCGACCAGTCCAGCTCGCCACAATCCGGTGAGCTGGCCTTATCAGTGGGAATGTATTATAAAAAATTGCATATTACATAATACATATAAAAATATTTACAATAAAATTTAGTAAACTACATTGAAAGTCTTGCAGAAGACAATGAAGTGTAACACATTTTTTTAAAAGAAAAAACAATGACTGAAACAATAAATGAAGTAAAAAGAAACATGAACAATAAAAAAAATGAATTTTCTTATATACATAGAAATTGAAAAAGAGAAATAAAAAGAAAAAGAATAAAGAAAGTGTACATAAATATAATGTATCATGTTAGACAGAATAAATATTTTAAATACATGATACATATATTTTTTTATGTAAGACAAATATTTTTTTTTTTTAGTTGGCAGTTCATAATCTTAATGAGGTTAACATTAAAGTTTTGTTAATTTATCATTAATGGATAAAAAATGCATTGTGTTTTTAAGTTTAGTATTTAATGTCTTGTTAGTTAAGAAGTTTTTCTGCCATTTGTAAAGGTTAGATTGATTTGGCGGACGGGTATGCCAAGAGGCAGTGGAAATACATCCAGTAAGATAGTGCTCTGGAGTGCCCAGTTGGCCGCATGTACATTGTTAATGTGCATAGTTACTATGCACATTAAGAGTTCTGAGGTATTAAAGTTGTGTTTATTTAGTTACCATTAATGAAATAAATTTTTTATTCTAACAGTCCGAGCCAAAGTCAAATGATGACATCTCTACAAATGGAAGAAGAGGTGAATTTAGAATTACTTCGAGAAAGAGAAGAAGCTGTTCGTAAATTGGAGGTATGTGTTTACATTTGTATGTCTTGCATTTTAATTAAAGCATTTTTGTTGTTAAACTATCAATACATGCATTTGTGTTGCAAAATTGTTTGGAAATTTATTTAATGTTATTTCTCTCTTTTGTATTTACTAGAACTGTGCAAGCTGGAAGCTTAAATGATCCATTTCAAACTTTTCTAAGACCCTAACTTAGACCTTAAATTCCTTTCTCCTCCACATCATACCTCTATTCATAGAGAATGTTTTTCTAGTTGTCATTCTGTTAGAGACTCGTGTGAGGAGAATTTTGTCTTAGAGCTTCAGCAATTCTTTATTATATAATCAGTAGCTCTTAGTAATTATATAATGAGATTTGCATTTTCATTTATTGAGAGTTTGGGCAAGTGTTTAGTTTTTCTTCTAGATGAAGTGTAATGTTTTTTAGTTTTAGTCATTGATTTTTTCTATGCTTACTGTTGTTTCTTGAAAAGGCCTTTTTTTCTGATGTCACAGACTTTGTATATGATTTGAATTTTTTTTTTAATATATATATTCTGATCTATTATACTAAATAATATTGATTAAGAAAATAAACTTCATAAAATGATAAATTTTGTTTTGCAATGGTTGAAGTGGCTGGATATTAGTATCACACAAATGTACAGAAATAAATTTGTTATAATTTGAGTTAAAAACTCAGCTTTTCTATGTCCGTGTTTGAGACTAGACTGTGTAACTTGATTATTATAATTCAATTGATTGCTACTATCGTGGTTGTTTACCCTAGTGGTCGCCAACCCTCAGATTGGTACCGGTCAGTGGAACAAACTGTACCTTGGTACTGGGTCACTATTCCATTTTTTGGTGTATATCTCTCAGATTTCTATGACTTAATATATAAACGAGAGGTTACCTGGGAGCTGAGATAAAACTTAATCTGAGACAAACTTAAAACTGATATCTGCCACCTAAAGATGCACATGTAACTGCATTTTGTTTTAAAGGCATGTTTATTTACAATTAAATTAAAATTATTAAATCAAAACAATCTAAAATATAAACAATCAACATAGTACATTTTTATTCCCCTTTAGCAGGCCTCAGTAAAATTATCAAACGTTAGCCGGTTTGCAGCAATAAGAAGGTTAGGGAACACTGGTTTAAACTATTTGAATTTGATATGGGGAGTGACAGTCGCCTACTCATGATGATCCCTTGTTTTCTCTAAATGGCTGGCTTTCTTCTTGCTGTTACTTTTGCAAAGACGATAAATATAAAACAAAACGCTTCTTAGGCACAGCCTCTAGCTCATGCCTTCTGTATGGAGGTAGTCCCATAAATGGACAACACCTCTTTGTGTGCACAAAATTGCAAGATACTGACCCTTCTGTTTTTAGCTCAGAAAAATATAGCATAACCAATGGGCCCTAGCTAGTGAGGTCAGCTTAGACATCTCTATTGTTTTAATAATTTTCAGTACTTTAATAGTTCAGATACTCAAAACTTTTGCTATTGTAATCATTTGATTCATTCTATCAATTTTAAAATTTTTATTCAAATTGTTATTAATACGTGTTAAAATATTTTTCCAGAGTTTAAAAATTTCTATTAAATGTTTATAGTCTAGCAAATTTTGCTGATTCCAACTCCTAAGGAATCAATATTTTAACTTTTCTCATCTACAACTACTGCTATAATTCTAACTAATTAAATAAAGGTCAAAATAATTAATGGTTAATAGTGTAATAAATTTTACAATATTACATTTTATAGTTTTTCTTAACCTGTTTGTGTTTACGGAAAAAAAAATTCTTGATTTTTGCTGTTTTTATTAGATTTAAACTAAACATTAAAATTTAAGGTTAACATTGTGATTTATTGGAAAGTGTTAGAACAATATAAAAGCTTTCCTCTTTCTCAAATCTTATACGAATCCACAAACTCTGGATGCTTAATCTCAAAAAACGAGAGTTTTTCGCACAAATGTGTTTTTTCAAAAGGTTGCCACATTGTAATGCAAATGTTATAGAAACAAGTTTATTGGAATCATCAGTGAGAAATAATAAATAAATAAAGGTTCATAATAGCTGTACATAGAAATTAATAAAATATATAGACTGAATAACAGCTGTAAAGAAATAAAAAAGTTGCAAAGTGAAAAAAAAAATTTACTGAAATTATGTTTTTACTGCAAAATAATAATTTTTTTTAACAGTAGTTTTGGTAAAAATACAAAATTTCACTTTTTTTTTCAAAGTACTCAAATATGCTCTTAAGATTAAATTAAGTCTTTCATTAAAGGATTTTTGAAAGTTATTTAATAATTCTATTAAATGCTATTCCCATTCATTAATTTATTCTAAGTAATCTAAATTTTTTTTTCTTATAATAAATTAATCCTGAAAAGTATTCTGTTTACGTATTTCTATAACGTATTTGTATACTGTTTTACATTTTCCAAGCAAAACTTATTTCATTTAAATGTATAAAATTTTATTTTTGTACCTTTTTTTATTGAAAGGAAAACATTTTGGTTTTTAGGACCCTAATATGTTTAAGTTTATATTTGGAAAATCAAATAAAAAAAATGAACTATATATACTGTATGAACATAAAATAAAGATTGAACAATGTTTCTTACTAAATTACATCATAATGTTTTTCCCAGAATAAGAAAGAAACAAGTAAATTGCTTGGAAAGAAATTGCTGCTAATGTAGTTTAAAAACACTTTTTTGTCATTCAAGTGTTTTTTCTTTTAAAGAATTTTATACAATACTATACCAATTTGGTTCTTTACTTTTTAAATAATTTTTAAATTTACTATTAATAAGATATTAAAAAATGCGTATTTTATTACAGGCTGACATAGTTGATGTCAATCATATCTTTACTGATTTGGCTACATTAGTACATGAACAAGGAGAAGTTATTGGTAAAAAAATTATTTTATAATTAATATAGAGTACTATAGTTTGAAAATTATATTATACTAATAAAATATTAATTGTAACCTATTATATATAATAGTAATATTACATATATTATAATTATTATATTTTAATTTCTTTAATTTTTATAGCTTTCAAAATAATTTGTGCTCAACTAATATTAACTTTCTAACTAATCCTAAAATGATTTATGCTTTTAAGCAAATCCATTTAAACATCTTTATGCAAAAATAAGCCTCTAATTGTTTTTAATTTATGATTTGAATATTGACATTACAGACAGTATTGAGGCAAATGTGGAATCTACTCAAATTCAAGTGGCAGAAGGTACACAACAGCTTGCTAAAGCAAGACGAAGCCAGGTACGTTATTGCATTTATTTGGAAAAAGTGGTTGTTTAAACAAATAACTTTTACAGATGAAATTAGTCTGTTTAATCTTAAGATTTGTTTTTTTTATGATATGTAGGAGTGCAATTGCACAATCGGATAGTCCAATTAATCCATGAATTTTTCTTTCCTTCTCCAATTTTTTATCTCAACAAATTTTATTTCTGGAAATGAATAACTGACATATTTTGGGTTTAAGACAATAAATATTCAATTCCCTTGTCTTGTAATTTTGAATCCGACCCAGAAGACAAGGAATGTATGCACACACCAGCCTTCTTTGAAGACCTTTATACAAATTTAATCACTTTTTTGCATTACACAGAGAAGAAAATCAGTTAAACAATTAGCCTGACAGAAAGGGTACTGTAACTCATGATCTGTTTAGTACTGAGGATATTTTCCATCAGCCTTGTGGTAATTATGAGCCAGAAGCAAGAATGCTATCAACCAGCCATCTCAACGAGCTTTATTACCGGCAATGAAAAGTCAACCTATTTTTGTGTTTAGAACTGTTGATGTTCAACTCCGTAGCTTTGAAATTTTGGATCCAACCCAGAAGATGAAGAAACTTGTGTATTAAGATCATCAATCTTTCTTCAGCATCTTCGTAATTCCCTGTTTAAGATGATGTCGTTCTTAGCAATAATGTCATTTAATGTAGTAACGGGGAGATTTAAATTTTTTGCTATTTGAACTCTTGTTAATTGAGAATAGTTGTCAACAGCTTTCAAAATTTTTACTTTATCATCTATAGATAGTATTTTTCGTTTAATGCGTTCAGGACATTTTCAACAAAAATAAAAAAAAAATTCTATAATATTTAAGATAAGAATCAAAATGAACCTTCACGCTAAGAAAATTTCCGAAGAAACACTGATAAATGTTTAGATGTATCTTTTGCATAAGTCATTGAAGGGGACAGCAGTGTAATGCATGAGTAATCAGGCTTCCAAATTTTCATTTATGGTGGACATAATGTTCAAGTGATTCCCCACATTCATATCAGTTTCATTGTTCATCTAATGGTTCACAGTCCTTTGCTCACACCTGTTCCCAAAGAATCACCTTTTGTGTAATGAACAAGGAAGGAAGTTTGGTGATCTTTGTTAATTTCACATAGTTTACATACCTGTTTTCGTAATGCTAAATAAGACATTTTAAATATAAAGTTTTAAAAAAAATGAAGAAAATTGGAAATTTCTGAAAACTTCTTGAGTGGATAACATTATGGTATTTTTTTTTAAAAAAATAACTACTTACGCAGAAACTTCTTAAACAAGTTCTACTGTGCATGCTATTGCTTGATAAAGGCAAGCTCCATAACCAATAATTAGCATGACAGTATGCAACCTTATAGCTCTATTTATATTTAAAATTTCTACAGCTATTTTAGAAAGGATCAAAAATAAATCTCATTAATCACTTCTTTACTAAGTTTTTATTTCTATAAATATAAAAAAATTATTCTAAATAAATACTTAACTTGTAACTAACTATTCAACATTACTCAAATTATTGATTAATACAACCTAACAAAGTGAATTATAACTATAGTATTGCCAATGGGTTGAGAAATACCAGAATTTTTATATGAGATCTATATATATATATAGATATATATATACTATAGATATATATATATAGATTAAGAATTTATATAAATCTGCTTTTACAATGAGATGCTGAAAATAAAGCATTGTTAACATGGTTTATTAATAATTTGACAACAGTTACAAAAATTTAATCAAAATAATTTTTATTTTGTTTTGTTAATTTTTGCAAATTTTACATGATGTATTGAGTATATTACTTTTGCCGACCACTTTATCACAAATGTACTTAACTACAGCTTCAACTACTTTTTTTTTACGTATTGCTAAAAACTATTTTAAAAATGTAGCCGCTACTTTTAGGAGAGACGAACTTAACTGAAGAACTCAATTTACACATATTCAAAACCATTTTGAATAAAGAAATTTGTTTATTTAAACAAGAGAAATCATTTAGAAATATTTATTTATGTTTACATGAGCCAGTTTGTTATTCTAGACCTATTTTTATGAATTTCTTCTTTTAACTTTAAATATTTTATGCCCTTCATGACAGTGAATATTTTATAAGTTCATTGAAATGATCAAATATTTGCAATTTTTTGTAAGTGTTTAATGCTATTTTATTTTCTATAAGAAATAAAGTACATTGAAAGTTACATGGAAAATATTTCCTTCCATTGAAATAACATCAATGTTTCATGAGTGTACCCTCTCATTTGAAGGTGTGGCCAGATTTATTAGATATTTATTATTTGTAATAGCTAGTTTAATTATTGGTAACACATAACTCTTATTAACATTAAGGCACATCCATTACACCTATTGGCGTACCCGTGAAGATTTGTGCCATTCATGTTTAAAAAATAAGTTGCATTTGAACCTTATTTCTTTACTAAACTAATATTAACAATTGCCAGGAATCAAGACAAACTACTGTTTTTTTTTTTGGTACCACATTACTCACTACACTGCTTACTTTGAGAAATAGCACACTACACTGCTATGAAAAAATTTGCAACTATAGCAATTGTGCTAGTTCTAGTGTGCTACTTCTGACTACTGGATGAAATGTAGGAAAGTGTGTTGCACAGCGATCTGCTTTTAATTATTTATTTTTTTAATTTAGGAATTTAAACATTTATTTACCTGTAAAAAATATTTAACATGTGTTTACTCACATAATTGTAAGAAACAACTTTTAAAAGAAAAAAACAATACTTTTATTAAAATTTACACACACCGTTATTCTAAAAACTCAAAATCTATATCGTACACAAGAACTGCTGTTGCCAAAACATGGAATACTAAATATGCAATAAGAATATAATTAATGTTCACGTGCTCACTTTTACACTCGACCATCCTGANTGTTTAATTATAAGAATTACATTTCCATATAAAAAAGTAGTTTACTCTGCACGCCTAATTTAGATTAAAAGATTTTTTTATCTACCTAAGTTTAAAATTTTTTAATACATGCATTTATAAGATTGTGAAGTGGGGTAAGTTTCAGTAAATGGTTTAATTATTTTGTATAACAATTTTTAATTTTTCCTTTTAAATAAAAATAAAAAAAACAAGATGTATTCCATGTAGATGTAGAGTATAAATAGAAAATGATGTAAAATATTTTATTTGTTGTAAATACTTAGTTTTCTTAATACAGTACAGAACCCGTTATCCGGAAAACCAAAAAACCGGAACGAAATTCGATAAATTTTCCCGCCATTTTTAAAAAAAAAAATTTTTTCCTCATAAGATTTTAGGATTTTTCTTTCTTTTTTGAAGGATGTTTACCATACCATCATTTTAGAAATAATCATTACTGTATTACTTCATCGTTTTTTCTTCTTTTTAAGATTATTTCCAAATATTTTTTTTTTTTTTAGTTGGATTTAACAATAAAAAAACGGCTTTTTGTAGCGATTCAGAAAACCGGAAAAATCAGTTATCCGGAATAGCGATGGTCCCGATCGTTCCGGATAATCGGTTCCCTACTGTACTTTTATTGGCTTCAGAAATTTCAACATTTTACTTTATGGATAAAAAGAGCAAATTTCCATAGTGATCCAGTTTTAAGTAATCTTGTGACTTTTTGGAGAGAAATATCTAAATGAAAATCAAGTAAAAATATGAAGCTGAAAAATAAAAATTGTTTTTATAGAATTGACCTTTTAGCGACTCTACAACAGCTGACGATTTAAAAAATCAAGGTAAAAGAAAAGAAGTTAGTTAGCTGCATTCTGCTTCGGAAACTGTTTTTTTCCCTCTAAATTTCAAAAATTTCTTATACAGAGGACACTCTTGACTTGGAAAATAATAAAACAGTGTTTTCTGATTACTTGCTGTGGTACCTGTTAATTTTTGTCTTTCGATTGTTGGTGAAAATACCGTCTATTTTGAATACACTGCTTTAGTTATTCTTTGCAACATGATCTGTTGTTTTGAATCTTGGAAAAAATGCTAAGTTAAAAACAGCAAACCATGCATGTTTATTACAGATTTTCCAAATTCTTTGGCTTATTTGGGATGTTGTTGTAAATACATTGCATTTTACTTTTCAAATTTTTTGTTTAAAATAAAATAACATAACATTGTTTTATTTTAGGCTGCTGCAAGACGCAAGGCATGCTTCATTGTTGCAATTTTCGTGTTTGTTGCCATTGTTATTGGTTTAATAATATATCTGTCAAATTAAAACTAAGATGTACATGAACTGTATTCATTTGTGTAGATTATTTAGTAGCTTTATTCTTAGTTTATTTGTTAAACCTGTGAATAAAATTATTTAATAAATGTTTGTGTCCACGATGTAAACATTCCAAAATTTATTTGTACAGAAAACTTTTGTTTATAATTATACTGTTTATTTAAAAATGGATTTCTTTTTAAATATACCATTGTAGAATTTATGTTTATTAAAACTATTGATTATATTAGCTTCTTTTTGATTTTTTCCTAAACCCAATTGAAAAATGTCTCAAGTATAAATAAGATTTGCACTATCTATTTTAGATAATAAATACTTTATGTAACTAAGAAAGATTTAAAACATAAGAGTTGATATTAGTACCTTATTGTGTGGCATCTGATAGGAAAACTTGTTACGTCTCCTCCATCTCAACACATTTATTTTAATTAGTAGTTATATATTTTTTATATTTTCCCACTAAAAAAATTACTTTAGTTAAATATTATTAACTATAATTCAATTTTATCATCAACTTTATTTAATAAAAATGTTCCAGTAATCCAACTTATTTTGTGGATTCCAAATTTGTAGGTTGTGAGTTGCGATAGTGTCAACCATTTCCTGCAATCAATAATTGTCAAAGATTTTGATGTACAGCATTTGTGCCATGCACGTTGTACATCAAATAATAGCTCATGAGCATTTATTCAATAAGTGTAAATAAAAATCTGCTAAGTAAACCATTTTTAATATATTTTAGCTCATATTTGTTCATTAAAATTTTTTTCTTTTTAATAATTTTAAACTTCTGTATAAGAAGCGAATTGCCTTAACCTTCATTTTGTTATTATGAGCCAATTTAGCTGTATTTCACTACAAGAAAATGACACTTTCTTTATAATTCTAGAGTTCATTATCTAGTATAGTTTTAATTCCAAGGGCTCACAGGATGACAATCACAGGGTGCGTAGCCAAATCTTTGAATCAAAAATAAGCACTTTTTAAAAACTTTTCAAGCACTTTACAAAAATTTTCAAGTACTCAAAAAATTCATATTCAATCAATGATATTATTGAAAAAGAAAAACTTTTTGTAAACAGTTTTAGCGTTAAAAAAAACAAACAAAAAAAACGGGCGTAAATCGAAACAATCAGTACTTTCCCACATCACCGAGTGAATTCAACTTGACCCTGAACTCAGAACAAAAGTACCCTTACGTCAAAGAAAGTGTTAGAAGTAAAAGAAAAACATTTCATAAGGATCTGATATTCTCTATCCGAATTGGAGCACTCGGGTCTCGGTTTAAAGAGAGCGCGCATGCACAAGTCATAACGTGGGTACGACATGAAGTCCGCATGAATGATTACATAGCAAACTCCCCATTTTTCGTGAAATGCATGGGATCCACCAGATATCACTAAAGGGAGAAAAAAAAAATTTCGGAAAAAAGCACTTTTTAAAAACGCCAGCTGAAAAAAGCACCTTTAAAAGCTTTTAAAAACGAAATCCCCCAAAAAGCACCTTTAAGTACTTTTTACAAACGCTACGCACCCTGCAATCATTGATTAACATCAATTAATTGTAATAAAAGATACTACCGAATGGAAAAATTATATGCAAATTTTAGAAGTAACTTATTCAATTGATATGCTAGATGTCAATAGCCATAATGTGGTACAGACAAATTCCGTTTTATATAATAGACCCTCTATTTTTGCACATTATTTAAATGTGAGAATTTCAAGATCTGGAAATGTAAAAATCACAGAATTCAAGTTAAAGCAAATACATACTGGTCTCCAAATTGTTTTCACATAGTTAGATTAAAAAAAAAAAATTTAAATTTACAATCTACATATATTACCTTTATTTTTAATTATAAGTCATAATTATATACTTTTTAACTCATAATTTGTAACAATAACTGCAAAAGTTATAATAAAGAAACAATTTTGTTACATGGTTTTTGTATCACTTTTCAACTGAAATAAATAGATTTGGTTATATTGATATTAAATACATATTAGATATAAATGAAAATTTTTTTAAGTTATGCTAATTGAAATTTTGTAAAAAGTGCCATAAAATTAAATTGCAGAATATATACATGAATACAATTTACTACTACTAATTATTACTACTAAGCTTTTTGTAAAATATTTTATCAACTGGTCGACTATTTAAAATTAGCTTTGAAAACTTATGGCAACTAAGCCAACAATTTGAAAGCCCCACCCTGAGTGAGCTGGATTATTTATTACATGTAGTGGTGTGGAAAATCTCTTTTTAATGAAATTTAAAAAACAAGGAATCATTCATTAAATTACAAGCTTAACTTCCGCTCAGAGAAATTTTCCCAAAAAGAGTGAAAAATTGGCAGGCCTGCTGTTATTAAATATGCTTCATAGTCATGTTTATCTTTTGACCAGAAAAATAAAGAGTCACAACTATCAAGCTAACAAATTTATTTAACAAAGAAAATATATCTAAAACTGCCACGTCACATGAATTACTTATGTTGGAGGGAGTTGTTTCAATTCAAACTCAAAACAATAGAAATGAAGTCCAATGAAAAATGTACACATAATTGCATGTAAAAAAATTATTTAATCCTTATAAGAGGTGGATCTAAGTTGTCATTAGGCAACCACCTTGAGTCATCCAAAGCTGTGTAAACCTCCTAGGGGGAAAGAAAATAATTAATCAACGATGCTAAGAAACTGAAATTAAATAAACTATTTATACTCTCAGAACAAAAATTACACTTGGTTGAGCAAAGATTAGTATCACTTTTAACAACAATTGGCGATGAGCAATAACTGATAAATAAATTCCATTTGATAAACTACAGTAAATTCGATGTAACTTAAAATAATAACCACAACCAAGGAGGAAACAACTTTTTGTTCCTTTTCTTGCAAAATGACTTCCTGTATTGTTTGCATTCTCAGCACTAATATTGATTGCAGTGGTATTAAAAATTGAAAGGATTTATACTAAGTGTAAACAGTCAAACTTATTTCCTTAACTTAAAACCCACATTGTACTGAATAAACATAATACGTCAACAATTAAAGATATGTAAGCAAAAATGTACAACTTAGAAAATGAAGTAAATTTAATAATGTTAATAGAAAGAAAACCATAATATATAGAGTGGAACTCTCGTTTTATATATGACCCGACCGGCCTGTGTAGGGGGGCAGAAAACTGTCCTTGCATCGGAAAGGTTCTGGGTTCAAATCCCGGGCAAGGCATGGATGTTCTTTCCTTCTCTGTACTCTTTGTGGTAGCGAGGTTGGCCCACCTAATATGGTGCCCCTGAAGGAGAGGCCCACAAAATCACCCTGTATATGCCTGAATTGACAGATGTTAACTCAGGTGGGCATTGAAAAAAAAAAAAAAAAAAAAAACAACTAGTTTTATGTAATCTGTTTCGCATAATATCGCGTTTCCTACATCATTTTCTGCTGAGCTGTGAAAATTGCCTAGACCAAAAATGTAAAATTATTGTGGATTTTACATTACTCTTTTTCTTAATTTAAAAAACTACTTTATACATTTTCCTATCAAATCAAAATCATTTGTTCTCTACAAAGCTTGCTCGAACTTTCTCTGAGTTTTCTTTGAATTTTAGAATAATCCAATCATTTAAAGAACGTTACATTAAACAACCGGTTGGGTAATCATTTGTTTTCTTGGATTCCAAAATGCCTCTAAAGCAAAAATAAATGGCCTGAAGCTCAGAGTTTGATTTCAACAACGCTGGATAGAGTTTACTAAAATACTTTGCGGGAACATCGGACCTTCGGATATCAACTTCAACAGACTGGTTTGATACGGCTGATAATAGTGATGAAAACGAAAAGAATAAACAAAACACATTAGAGGACATATCCACATCTGATTAAGAGTTTGAAAGCATAAAAACTTAGAAACATTTACAAATGTAAACCAGAAATCAAATTTGAAAACAGTAAAAGTATTGAAGGCCATTTTTTAAGTTCTATCTAAAAACATATAAATACACATTTTTTCTAATAATTCATCTCATAGGTATTAACATTTTGAAAAGTAAGCTTATATTTTTCTTTACTTTTATTTTATGTTATACTGGCTTCATGGGTTTTTAACGCTAGTCCAATGGAAAGCGTAAAAGAGGAAAACTACAGTATATATGTTAGTCTTTTTATCCACATTATTAAATATACTTATATTTATTAAGTTTTATATTTTTGCTTACATAGGGTCTTAATTGATATACCTGACTGAAATTGCCTTGATTTAATAAACACAAAGAATTTATTATAAATGAGGAATATTTCTTAGAAGTAAAACTTTCAATTTCTTCAACTTAAATTTCTCAACCTTTTATGCCTATAAGCTTCATGACAATGAAATAAAAAAATGAATAAATTAAAATTATAATTTTTTTTTCTTCAGAAAAGATATTCATTTCAAAAATGTTTAGCATCTTAATGTTTTAAAAAATATAATTTTAATTTAAAAAAATGCTTGTCTATTAGAAAATGGAAATAACACTATTATTAAAATAACATCAACAAAAGGGTTAGCTTTTGACTTGTTACATCAATTAGTTAAAATAATAAAATAGGTTGAAATACATCAGTGTTGAAATTGTAAGTAATCATTTCCAATTGCTATTACTGTTCTTTTTCGCTACAAAATTTTCCCCAAACCAAATTTGTTTCCTGTCACAGAGCATCGCATTGATGAAATAAAAAGTTTAAAAAAAATTTTTTTTGCCCATTAATAATTTGTCTTTATATAGAGGATTTCCACCATGTGGCCAGGTCTGCTACATATTGTCTTTAAATAGGGTTTCAATTGATACACCCGATTTTAATAAATCTAAAAGATTTACTATAAAAGCAAAATACTTCTTAGAAGTAAAACTTTAATTTGGTCAAAATTTTTTGCATATAAGCTTCATAAAATTAAACAAAATAAAGAAATGAATAAATTAAAAAAAACTTTGTTCATTGGAATTCATCCCAATGTTTATCCTTTTAATGTTTTAAGAAATATATTTTTAATTAAAAAAATTCTTGTTTATAGGAAAGTGGAAATAACACTATTATTAAATAATAAAATAATACATAAGACTATACCAATAGCTATGACTAGTTATAGATAACAGCTTTAATAATACAAAAAAAAGAGATAGAAATACATCAGTGGTATTTTAAAATTCCTGGACAATTTCAGATTTTTCATGTCTCCGCAGAGAGTGGTCACCTTTAAGTGGAAATAAATTAAGGTTATTTAAATTTTTAAACATATATAATTGTTTAATAAGACACTTAAAATACTTCAAGATATAAGGGTTTATTAATAGGAAATTTGAAAAAAAAAAAAAAAACTAATTTGAGTAGGACATATCCAAATGATGAGGGAACAAATTACCTCGTTCCTTTGCATAAATTCCTGATTCACTTGATCTACATCAAGAGGTTCATCATGCTCTGTAATAAAGAGTATAGAAGAAAATAAATAAAATATTAACAAAAATGCTTATCACAGTAAAAATTCATCACAAAAATTTCGCTTAAGAAAATTTTATACATAAAAAAAAGAATAACTGTAATTATTCCCTAACACTGATCCTATAATTTGCACTCTAAGTTTCTAATTTTGCACTATAATTACACTTTAGTTTAGTGATGAATATTTAAGTTTTTTGGAACAAAATAATAAAAATACTAAGGAGTTTTCTTTCAAATAATAGAACTCCTTCATTAACTGTCCTTTTTTTTTCTTGTTATACAAATTAATAGATATTTAATAAAATGCAACAAAATTCAACAACTCAAAATTTAACTAATAAAAAGCTATATAACAAATAAATACAAAATAGGAAGAAAAGCAAAACATTAAAAAAAAAATTGATTCAGTCCTTTTTTTAAATAAAAATCAATTTTAAGTTTTTGAGTAGCTGCTTGAAGAGAAACTAAAAAGTCAACATAATACGTAACTATGTAAATGTTACTATCTAATACATCCTCTCAAAGCACTTTTCTTAAAATTGATTATTGAACTTTGATTTAAATAATATTTATAAAATGTATATTATTCTATTGTAATTTCTTCTTTAACTAAGTAAATAAGGAACTAAGTTTCCTTTGTCTAGCCCTGGGGTAGCTATTTTCTTATGCTGCTCAGTCTGCTTTTACTTACAAATATTCAAATTCAGTTAATAAAACATAGTAACCATTTTACTCCCCCCTCACAGAAGTAATAATCATATTTTAAAAAATAAAATACAAAAATTACAGTTATTCAAAATAAAGTTTACCTTCAATAGCATTTTCTATAACTTCATATGCAGCTTCAGCATACTAAAAACAAGAAAGTTTGATTCATTAGTCCCATGTAAAAAATACAAATTGAACATAAAATAATGATGCAAACACAAATTAATTATGCAACATAAATTAATAAAAAGATATGAACACACATAAATCCGGTATAAAATTCTTCAGAAAAGTGCTAAGTATGCTTTGATAATATAAATTCAATATGTTTTGATATTACACCATTCAACAACGACAAACTTCAGTTATGTTTCAGTTGCAGCGGTGGCTTAATTTTACGGGTCAAAGATACATGTAAATGAAAACAAATTTCTCAACTATACATCGTTAGTGCTAATCATATACTTCTATATTTGAGCTAACCTGCTAACAGCCTGTAACACAAATGGTTAAGGAATAATCATACAACATTACATTTATGATACTTTGAAATAACGTCTACTCTTGGGGCATTTTTCAAAATTTATGATTAACAAAAGTATGAATTTGTAAAGTGTCATTTTGTGAAATAATAGAAGTTCTAAAAGCAGCATCAGAAACTATTTTTCTCATATTAATAGATAAATATGCATACATCTTCATAGGACACATAAAATAATGTTGAGAACAATAGCACTGGGCTAAAACTCTAATGATTGTAATAGGCTAATCATTTAATTTAAAATTTCTTTTTAAAAATTAAATTTAAGGACTTTTAGATTGCTCACATAAAATTCAATACAAAAATTAATAAGACTTTCAAATTGCATACTTTATAAATAATAAATAAAATCAAAACATCATTCAGATAAACCAAATATTTAAACAGCAAATAGGAAGCTTACTTGTGCGGTTGTAGTTGCGGCAGTTCCATCTGTTGCGGCAACTTGTTGTGGATCAGAATAAGAATATTGTTGAGGATATTGATATGCACCGGCGTATGCACCATAACGTTGATCATAAGCATAGTAAGGATTTTGTTGCTGATAATTTTGCCAAGCTGCATAATAACTTTGATAATCATATCCTGGATATTGCTGCTGCCATTGTTGTTCTTCGGTAGATGGTGCACTCGAAGAAGAGCTTTAAAAAAATGTTAATATTACAAAATACATTAAACATATTATATAAATTAACAAAATAGGAACTAAGAAGAAGGGAATTTGTAAAGAAATTTTATATTACCCTCCTTTCTGTTGAGCAGTGCTGACTCTAACAGACTTGGATCCAATATGTGTATTCTGCATTTCTATTAAGGCTGCTTCGTACTCAGATTTACTAGCAAAGTGTACAAATCCGTAACCCTTGCTAACACCGTAATTATCGTATATAACTATAATAAAAAAATTCAAAAATTATACGATGAAAAAAGGAACCACAGAAAAATATAAAAGAATCCTTCATCAGTTTTTTTTTTGATTAATTAAAACTGTACTTAAGATCTGATTTGTTAAATAGGACAAAGAACCACAGAAGTTTTATTGGCTCTTAACAGCTTAATATGATGTGGGTAACTAAATTGGTAAAAGAAAACCAATAGAAATCTTTGATAATAACAGAGGTGATTGTAGGTCAAAAATCCAGAAAATTTCTGGAGTAAAATCATTCAAAAAATTTATATCTTCATTAATTTAAATCATTAAAATTTTCAAAACATGATATTCTAAATGATTTATATGCAGCATAATTTAAATTAATAATTATGTGTAAGTTTACTTTTATCTCTAATCATATTTATTATTCTACCAGAAAAAATATTTACAAATGAAAGAGATGCCAAATATAAATTCCAGTTCTAATACCTTTAAATAAAATATACAAGAATTTTTATATATAAATGTGATCGATGGTTTCTTGAAACTTCTGGACTTTGGATTTCTGGAAACTTTCCGACCGCAATTAGCAAAAAAATCCGGAAATCCAGATTTTTTCCGAGGCACAATTACCCCTGTAATAAGGTTCCAGTTAAGTAAATATTATTTAAATTAAAACCAGGGTTGAGATTTGGAACATGAGAGGAAGATTATACTAAGGTTGAGATTTAGAACATGAGAGGAAGATTATACTATCTCAAACTATTCAAAACAAGCATAAATGCACTAAACTGTCCAAAACTTTAACAAATACAAGCTTAATTTTGATGAAAGAATCAATCAAATAGCTAGAATCCAAACTGATTTTAACAATACAGAGAAATAAAAAATAACAAATTAGAAGGCTTCACAATTACGGGAATTACCGAGTAATGTGAATAACTACAATTATATTTTTACTGAGTCAAATAACAACTATTAAACTCAATAAATAAATTTATATACAAATACAGGATGAAAGTGATAACAAAAGGTCTGAAAATACCTATCAACTCAAAACCTGAAAAAGTAAATAAAAAAGCATGTGAAGCTACTTTGTGCAAAAAGGAAATATGTGAATCATTTGCCTATATATTTGGAAAAAAATTCTGTATACATTATGGCAGTCCAATGTTTCTGATAGTAGAACAAACTGTTAAGTATTCAAAATAAATCATAATTAAAGAGACTAAAATAAAGTAAAACAACCAAAAGAATATTGAAATGTTAAAAAAATAGACATTTAATATAGCATTTTATTTTCTCTTCAAAATTTACAAAATGAAATAATCTTATGCCAGTTTGTAATAATATAATTATTAAAATTTGTGCAATAATTAATCAGAAAAAAAATTAAATTTCCACAAATAAAATAGTTACCTTTCGCTAGCTTTACAGTTTTATAATGAGCTAGAAAAGCATCAAACAGCGTTAAATCATCAACTTCTGGGCTAAGGTCTCCCACAAACAAAGAGTAATGAGTCCTGGAGAAAAGAAAATTACTACATTTTAAAGAAGAAACCTAAGAATATTTTTAATTTTGTATAAAAATTATAAAATATTGAAAATTTCACGATGATCAAAAATCCTTAACTATCTTACAATTACCTTCCCCAATGGATTTGCTTGGAGGTTACATTTTGTTTCAAATTAGGTCTGCTACCTGTTTATATATGGGTCATTTTCTTTTTCCATTGATATTTCAAGTATACAGTATGACCAATGATTCAGATCAGATGCCCACATACTAGTAAGCTACAGGAAGAATTTTAGCATAAATTAAATAATTATAGTTACAAACATACAATCTGGATTTTTACAGAGGTGTGAACACATTAAATGACTAGACATAAAATCCAAATCAATCTCCAAGGGTTAAATCACTTGGTCCTACTCATTTTAACAAACATTAGTTTCTTCAACAACACCTGCTAAATATTTTTTTCACATTCAAATAATTCTCTAGACCTTGAACAAACTAGTTAGGCTAAAATAAAATACAATATAAAAAATTCGAAACACTTGTATCTGAAAAGAAAAAGATTACAAAAAAATAATTTGTCAATAGTACATCTCTAACATAATAAAAAATACTTTCATACAACTTTATCATGTAACTTTCATGTAGCCAAACAGCATTCAGACAAGCCACAGTAGTTATTGAAGAAAAGGTAAAGCACAATAACGTAAAAATTAAGAATTATTTCCAAATTATTAATTAAACAACAATAATTTACAAATTAAACTGTAATGAAATACAACTTAAAGAATGTATTTTATTAAAAATAATATAAATTAAAAATACTTTTATAAGCCTGTTCAGTTATTTAGATTTACACTATATCAGTAATGTTAGTGGTTTCAAATTATTACTTAGGGATCTATCAATTGGAATAATTTCTTTCTGAGAGCCAATGCGATGATTTAATATTTTGTCTAAAAATGTAATATGGTTTAATATCTTAAATTAAAGTGATTTTGAACAACTCCTCAGATTACCATTTCAAAAAAGTTTCTGAATATTAAAGTGTTCTGAATATTAACTATTATAGAGATCATAATAAAAACATCAATAAAAGAAGTTTTTTAAAAGTGAGAAAGCTAGATGGACACTAAAACAACCATCATTCTTAATTCTTCAGCAAAAAATATAACGCTAAATATCTCAAAGAATCATATTCAGTTGAAATGCTCTTTAAAAAATGTCATGTCATAATAAAAACACTGATAAAAAGAAAAGTTAATAAAAAAGCTCAAGAGAAACAAAAAAAAATTGTTCTCAGTTACAGTACAGAAAAACAGAAATGCTCCGTTAAAATGCTGTAATAAAAACAGCAAAAACCAAGAAAAAAAAGTCTTTCTCAAAAAAATTAAAACGTTGCAAAAATAACAACCTGAATATAATTTTTAAAAAAAAATCAGCAGGACAAAACTTGGTGTTCAATGTAAAGTAATCTAGTTTAAATTCTTTAAATATTGCTTTTCCATTTGTCTTTCAGAACATAAATTTGCAAGCCGTGAGCAAGTTTTAAAGCTTAACTAATATTTATTAAAACTGTTTTCAATAATGTTTAGTAAAAAAAAAAAAATTTTAGATTATTTTTCATTAAATCTATTCAAATTTAAAAAAAAATAAGAGCATAGTTAAAAAATACTTTTCCAAAAAAATACTTTGCCGAATATTTGGTCAAACATTCAGCCTGCCGAATACCCAGCAGAAGGGACAAATATTCGTTAGATCCCTAACAAAAACTAGTTTGTTGCACAAGGAAGCAACTGGGTACAGTGCTGAACTTAGTCTGGAATCTACAGTTAAAAAGATAAAATAAAATACTAGATCATACCTGAAAAAATACTCTTTTTATACATAAATTATAATGACCTTATACCTATTTAATTTATCAAAATTAAATCACAAAGAAATTAACTTTTACGGAACTTTATTTTGAAAAATTATAATAAAAGTACTTACGCAGAACTGGGACTATCTTTAGAATGATTGGCGTGATTCAACTTGAATCTCCTAGACTGAAATAAAATATTACAGTGATATAAACAAAATAGGTCGGTTATTTTAAAACTTGCATTAAATTAATATTTTCAGAGGCATAATAAATTAAATGATCACTGATAATTGATACATTGAATAAAAAAGACTAAAAGAATGTGGGGAATTTTAATTTAAATTTTATTATTAATTAGCAATTTTTTTTTTTTTTTTTGCAAGAAAAAATAGAACTTACACTAGAATTAGGAATAAGTTTTCCGTTGTATCGATGCAAAACTCTTTGTGCACTCTCCTCGTCAGGAAATTCTAAGAATCCGTAACATACAGATCTAAATTAAAAAACAAGCATTTTTAAAATTATCTGTTTTAAATAATTCAATGAGACAAATTATTAAAGTCTAGCATTAATTCACATATAATTCAGCAGAAATTATAATGCTAACCATGCTTAAATAATACTCCTAATTTAAATAAAGAAACAAGTAAACTTATAAAGCCAGCAACTTTATAATAAAGTTATCACGGTAACAATTCACAATTTTATGAAAAAGATGAAGTTTATTTTTTATATTTGAAGATTTTTTCTTTCTTTTAACTGGGGTTTATTATTCTAAGATTTATTATTTTAAAACAGATTTCTTTTAATAGTTTTTATAGTAATAGCTTTGAACATACATTAAAAGTAGATGTCATTACCTAAACATATTTCTTAGTTTATATTTTTGGATTATCCATCAATATTGTACAACCTTCTATTAAGCCTTTTAAACACGTTAAAATAATTATCTTTTAAAAATTTATTGATACCATTATAGCCACTGATAAAATTACAGGATTATGAAAATACAGTTTTTAAAATAAAATTTGCAAATGCNAGAAATAACAAAAACTATTCAAGCACACCATGAAATATGATTCAATAGAGGATACGACACCAACCAACCAAATAATTCAATGAGATAAATTATTAAAGTCTATTTATTGTATGTCCCCGACCCGCCCATCTATGGGCATACGAGAGAGGAATTAAAAACACAAAATACAAAAAAAAAATACAAAATACAAAATTTACATCAAGTGGATGGATGGAAACAGGCCATCAGATGATATATATTAAAGTCTAGTACAACGTAATTCACATATACTTCAGCAGAAATTAAAATACTAACCACGCTTAAATAAAACTCCTAATTTAAATAAAGAAACAAGTAAACTTATAAAGCCAGCAACTTTATAATTAAGTTATCACGGTAACAATTCACAATTTTATGAAAAATATGAAAAAAAATTTTATATTCGAAGATTTTTTCTTTCTTTTAACTGGGGTTTATTATTCTAAGATTTATTATTTTAAAACAGATTTTTTTTAATAGTTTTTATAGTAATAGTTTTGAACATACATTAAAAGTATTTAAGAGCAATGTAGATGTCATTACCTAAACATATTTCTTAGTTTATATTTCTGGATTATCCATCAATATTGTACAACCTTTTATTAAGCATTTTAAACATGTTAAAATAATTATCTTCTATCTCCTAAAAATTTATTGATAACATTATAGCCACTGATAAAATTACAGGATTATGAAAATACAGTTTTTAAAATAAAATTTGCAAATGCAGACCATAACCAAATCAAAGCATGCTAAAATCATCATTCGTTTTGTAAAATCAAATTCCATTAGGCATATGTTTGAAACAATTAAAAACTGATTTTTCTTCGTTCAATTTTTAGAATTTTTTATTCCCTTAAGTTTTCAAAGCATATAAATAAAAAAAAAAACTCATTGCGCTAAAAAAAAAACAAGAACAAAGGTAGAGATTACAGACGTGGATATTTTAAAACCTAAACTTCTACCTAAAATGTCAAAGTAGATTCATTAAAAATAAAATATAAATCTTGTTAAAAACTTTTTTCAATACGTTTTGTAGAATATCCCTATCCTTTCAATAGAGAATCTGTTTTTTTCCTTTTTGAGAGTTATGAACATTGGAAATTTTATGATGAAATTTGGCAACTACGAGAAAATAGTCAGAGTCACAACTTTGTCCCCTGAAGACTAACATCTTGAATAGCTAATGTTTGTCTACGATAGGTACTCTGACAGACATTCATCTGGAGGGGTGGCGGGGACTATGGTAACGAGGTATGATTATTTCAAGTAGGGGTGCGGGTCCCTCTTTATGACTGGTTTTGGCGCGAGAAAATGAGACCTCTTTCTTCGGTCTATTGTGTTAGCTCTTGAGTGAAGAGAAATAAGTATTCGCACCTGTAACAGCGTTTAGATCGTTCGATTTTCTCTTTCTTAAAAGAGTCAAAATTTTAATAGCGGTAGTACCCAAAATTTTATATCATAATTTTTACATTTTTTGTTGTTTATTTAAAAAGTATATATTATACAAAACAATAGCCCAAAACCTTTTTTTTTTATTTAATTTATTTCACAAGATATTAACAATTAAATTTCAAAACTTTTTTTAATTAAAAAATAAATGTCTAAGGATAGAATGAATGGATTTTTAAAAAAATGTATCTCATTTTTTGATAAAATAATTATAATAAAACAAATGTTTAAAAAATTTAATTTTTATTGCAAAATTAAGTTGTAAAATGAAAAACAAAAATGTTGTTAGTGTCGTACAAAGTTCAAACAAAACCCATTTTGAAGTAAATTTGATTCTGAACAAAATGGCTTTAAAAAAAAATGGATCGCAATTCCAAAAAAAGGTATAGCTTTTTTCGCGAAACGCTGCACCGCGGCGCGCTCTGCCACTCCACTCTGCTCATCGCTCAATTGCGCTGTATCAGTTGATTTGGAGGGAATTTAAAAACTAAAGTTTCACAAAATAACAAGCATTATATTAAATAATAAATTTATAATTTTAGGTGAATAATATTATGAATAATTAATTATTTATAGTTTATTAACAAAATTTTTTGAGTTCAAACTTGGAACTAGAAGAATATATTTTATTTACAACTATTTTATCAAAAACTTCAAGAACTTCTGCGTAAAATGAGATACAATTTTTTAAAATCCATTTATTCTATCCTTAGATATTTATTTTTTTAACTAAAAAGAGCTTTAAAATTTAATTGTTAACATCTTGTAAAATAAATAAAATAAAAAAAATCGTTTTGGGCTATTGTTTTGTGTAATATATACTTTTCAGAAAACAACAAAAAATGTAAAAATTATGATATCAAATTTTGGGTGTAACCGCAATTAAAATTTTGACTCAATGACTAATTAAAATTGTTATTTCTATGTAATGATTGATAAATAGGATATGTATGGAAATTGTTTAAAATTGTTTAAAGCAAGCTCAATGTTTTATTAATAAATAACTCTATAAATTTATCATACATAGTAAATTGGTTATTAAGAAAAAAAATTAAAAAAATAATAAAAAACAGAATTACTTTTTTTAATAATTAGTGAGAAAAACTATACAGGCTACATTAAAATACAAGTAAGAAAACGTAATTTAAGCAACAAAAAAAAAACTTAAATAATTTCAGATGGTTTGATGGGTGCAGATAAAAATCATCGTTGATAGTTTTAGATTTCATCCTATACGCGGTAACTTGCTTTCAGTTTAAAAAAAAAAGTCAAAAATAAATAATAAAAAGAAAGATATTTTGTATTTTTTCGGCACAGATAACGTGAACTATTTCTATTTTCATCAAAAGTTTTATCTCCTTTTAAAATCAGAGTTAATAAGTTTAAACACTTCACTTTTCCAGAAAACTCAAATAATAAAAGAAATTAACTGCTTTAAAAAATGTGCAAGTTTAGAAATTAAACCATCTAACAATCAATGAACATTCATAATAAATATCGCAAAATTAAAAAAACCTGTACTACCCTTAATATCAGAATTTGTACACTTTTTTTCCTTTGTATTTAAAAAATAACAACCGATTGAGTAGAGAGAATAATTTCAATTAAGAAAGAAATATCCACGTGAATCTTAAAAAAGTAATTGAATCAGATTAAATAAGTCTCCTACTGGTGGCTTAGTCAGCCAATCTGGTATACTTCCCATACAAGCTATCATCGAAGCTACCCTCCCTAAAATGCCCTCTTCTTGTTTCCATAGCACCAGACTGTCGCAGACTTTGTGGCGGTCAGAGTACCTATCGTAGACAAACAGTAGGGGATTATTCTGCACAGCAAGAGGCTGGAGAGACTATTAAAGAGGCTGCTAATGCAATATTAAAAATAATAATCAACTTCTGGTTCAATGAAGTCTGTCGAGATGCCTTGGAGTTGAAGAACATTTCAAAACAAAAAAGGCTACAAAACTACTGTAGATCAAATAGAGAAGACTATGGATGCTAACATGGAATAGCAAATAAATTATGTAGTCATAGCATAAATTAAAGCTGAAAATTTTATAAAGATATCAAAATGCTAGTAGATGATTCCCAACATGGTATTACAAACTGTACAGCATAGCTGCCCACAATGGGTTTTCAAAAAAAGCAAAATATTAAAAGCTGTAAAATTTCAACGTATTTTTTCTCCAGAACATAGTTAAATTTAAAGATTTTAAGACAATTAAGAACACTTAGGGACATCAATTTTAATTATTTTTCAAAGTTTAATCTGTGCACGATTTGGCTTTCTTTAAAAAATTTTCATCAAATGTTACAATGTAGCAATTTTGATTTTTACAAAAATAATCAGCTTGTAATATTTTCTCTAGTTCTCACTACTAAGAGATGACCTAAACTGTGATTCAAGAACGATTTCACTAAAAACTAAGATAAACTATAAACTAAATTACCTCTCAAAACTAAGATTCAAAAACGTAGCAAATCAAAAAAAAACGCATGCGATTTCTTCACAATAGTAAACATTAGCTCTATTGCCAGATGCCGTCAACTGAATTTGTTCGAAAAAAATTCGTCTGCGTTCGGCAGCCGAGTGAAATGTTTTCTGTGATTCAAAAACGATTTCACTAAAAACTAAGATAAACTAAATTACCTCTCAAAACTAAGATTCAAAAACATAGCAAATCAAAAAAACACATGTGATTTCTTCACAATAGTAAACATTAGCTCTATTGCCAGATGCCGTCAACTGAATTTGTTCGAAAAAAAATTCGTCTGCGTTCGGCAGCCGAGTGAAATGTTTTCTTCCCGATCTATATTTAGGGAGCGTTCTCACTCTCAATCAGATTCTTAAACGCAGTTGCATTTCTGAGTGTGTTTCAGCTTCTGCGTCGTTGCTTTGATTTTCTCCTTTGTTCGAGCACGTGCCTAGAAGATGCAAAAATTTGATTCCTGATCTAAAAAATGTGTTCGGGTACATATTCGGATCTGCAAATTCGGTGGCTCTGTTTTAAAAAATATGAAATAAAATAGAATTTTTTTTAAATCGAGGAAAATCGGAAGATTAAAATAAAAAACTGGAAAGCGGAAGTTTCGATAAAAAACCGGAAATCTTCCGGCTAAACCGGAAGAGTTGGCAGCTATGGTACAGGAATAGATAGTGAAATTATTTCAGATTTATCAAGTGTTTTAGTAAGTTTCTTATTAATTACTTTCATACTTTTTCCTCAGTTTTACAATAAATGCGAATAATTAGGGTGACCATAATGTAGATTGTAGTTCTAGTTCTAATATTCTAAACAAATTATTCCAAAGATAAAAAATAACAAGGCTCCATGAAGTGACCAAATTAGAGTGGAATTTATAAAACATGGGAGCCAAGTTGTGACATAAACACCATATCTGGGAATATATATTACCCATATATGGGAACAGGAAGAAATGCCAGCAGAATGGAACTCAGGAATTATTGAATTATTTGAAGAATTCTTTTTCCTACGCATAGAGATTCTGATTTATAAAACTAGTCAGTTTATAAAAAACAATGCTCTATAAGAAAATGTGTAAATTTAATAGGTGGCAGCACTGTAGTTAAAAATTTCAATTTAAATTCTCAACTTTTATTTGTCAAACGAAGGTTAAATAAGATTTAAATACCAATTATACATTTTCAAAGTAACATTAAACATACATACTCAGTACTTTTCCTGATAATTTTTACACTGCAAATTGGCTCTCCTAATATTCTAAATGCTTCTACAAGAAAATCTTCATCAATATTTGAATCCAACTGTAAGAAAGAAAAAAAAGACATACACTACACTGCATTTAGGGGCTATAAACTATGTTTAAGTGAAAATTATATCTAAATTAGCAGTATTTATAAATAATACAATCAAAAGAAAATAAAATTGCTTCATACATTTTTTATACCTTTTTAGATAATATGTTATAGAAAAAAAATCACATACGAAAATATAAAGCAAAATCTACTTTTCGCCTGAATACTTAGTCTATTTGGAGACGTTCTACTTAATGGCAGTTAATATTCATTTTATGTAAAGACCAAATATTTCAAACTTGGCTTATTCATAATAGAAAAATATGCAATTAATGATGGAATCTTTTGATGAGTAGATATTTTTTATTTCACTTTTAATCACAATTAGGATATTTTAAACAGAAGAAACAAGTTTGGTAACAAAGGGAGTGAGATAGATCGGGAAAATGTTTGAAAAGAAAAAATGAAGATACTTAAATAACAGACTTATGAAATGTAGACAATTACAAATCAAAATGACAACAAAAAAAAGACATAGGAAATAAAAGAGTTAAGCAGGTTCACTGCTTTATTATATAGATAAGGATAGATACTACTATTGATGCTAAAAAGAAATATACTAACAATGTGGAAGATGGCTCTTTTAACATGCTCAAAAAAACTGGAAAAAAGTTATTAAAGTAAGATCACAATTGAAGTCAATAATAATAAATTCTTATAAAATGTTACTTCATTTTTTTTAATTCTATCTTGTTTCAGTGCTATAACTTGTGGTAAAAAGAATTTAATTCTTCTTCCAAAACAAGCTAATTTATTGCAAAATATATTAACAGCATTAATTCTAATAAGAAATCTTCTTTCAAATCTTTGTCTTATTTTCTTACAAATTCTGTTAAAGGACACACTCTACCTAGGAACAATTATACTGAATCCTTTTAAAGTCTTTAATAAGAGAGACAACCATATTTAGGTTAATAAAGATTAACTGTGAAACAATTCTAAAATTTAGAGATCGGCAATTTAATTCTAATTAAAAAATTATTAATAAAATTTTGGTAATTAGAGATTGCTTTTAATTTAACAAATCAAACAGAAGGAGTAAAAATGAATATTTTCACAAAATATAGAAAAAATAATAAGATTAATTAACTTAGCTTGATTTCCTGGAGAACAAATTTGCAAGTTTTTTTAATTAATAAAAAAACTATGCCAAATATAATAACAGACATTAAAAGATTACCAATTGAAAATATTTATTAGCCGTCATGATTAATGCTAGAAATTTAGCAGTTTTATTTATAATAATTATTTATATAATGTGCGTCTAAAATATTAAATGAAAATCTATACTTACATCACCTATCCAAACAGTAGATCTCCTATTCATCGCTCATATGGACACACCCATTCGTGTAGGTCTGCAAAATAAAAATTAACTCAATACTCATTCACGAAAATAGGAAAAAAATTTCAATTTATGAAATAAATACAAGGAGCAGACCATTTTGGTCATATTTCTTAAATACTCCCTTAATTTACAAAGATGATTATCAAATAATAAGAGAGACAGCTATAGAATCCACTTCACACACAAATTACTCTATAAATGAGAAATAATAAAGTTAATGAAAAGTTTACATTTTGAATAAAAATATTAATAAGATAGTAACAACATCCAGATGATCAGGAGTCATCGGCAGCTATTTACTTTCAAAATATCATATATTTATTAAATTAAAAACTGATAGCTTACTAAAACTTACTTTTCTTTTTCCGTAGAAGAGAATAACTCTTTAATATATTTAAATTACGAACTAATAAAAACCTTACATTTTTTCTAGAACAAATGCAGAAGTTTTATTGAAGTTGATAGCTTACGGTCACAGTTTTCATAAATCAAATTTATTTGCAAGCTATAAGCTGTTTTTTTTTTTTAGAAAAAAACTATTACCGCTGCATAAGATTTGAGCAAATTCCAGAAGAACTTGATTAGTGAACTTTCAACGGCGATTAAAAGGGCGTAAAGCGAAAATGACCTTTTAGCAAGTTTGCTGTTGTTGTTGTAGTTCATTTACGTCGCACTAGAGCTGCACAATGGGCAATTGGCGACGGTATGGGAAATATCTCTGAGGATGATCCGAAGACATGCCATCACAATTTTGATCCTCTGCAGAGGGGATGGCACCCCCGCTTCGGTAGCCCAACGACCTGCACGCGAAGTCGAGCACTTTACGGTAGCACAGTTTAACGAAGACCAATACCGCACACCCTCGGTCCCTACGCAGATTGATCTAAGTGGTCACCCACCCACACACTGACCGCAGCCAGTGATGCTTGACTTCGGTGATCTGCTGGGAACCGTGTCTTAACGATCTGTCCACTGCGGGACTAGCAAGTTTGCAATACCAACCAAATTTCATACTATTTCAGGTTTGTTCCTGGATCCATTGAATAAAATCCATACAGTGGTCAAAATAACTTATCGGTTGTTTTTCTAATCTGACTCTGAAATTGTCTATTGTTGTAACTTATTTACATCGAACTAGAGCTGCACAATGGACTATTGGCGACGGTCTCGGAACATCCCTGATGATGATCTGAAATCATGCCATCTCAAATTTGATCCTCTGCAGAGGGGATGGCATCCCCGCTTCGGTAGTACGTTGACCTGCAAGCGAAGTTGAGCATTTTACGGTAGAACAGTTTAACGAGGACCAAAACTGCACGCCCTCGGTCCCTTCGCAAACAGATCAAAGTGATCACCTATCCATGCACCAGAATTGTCAATTACAAATTGAATTAAATTGATGCAACACGCTTTTAATAAAGAAATTTCAACTTTAAAAGAGTTGACATAATTTGTAAAACATCCTGGTTAGCTCTTCAGATTGATTTTTACGCCTAAACTTAAAAAAGTGGGCCATCAAATTTTATTATACTTTCAGTGTTTACAATATATCACGCTTTTTAAATTTAAATAAACAAACAACATAAGAATTTGGAAGACACTGCAAGCAAGCTATGCTCTGGAAGATGCAACCCAATAAAAGATTATGATATTGTATACAAATATCGCCAAATAAGGGATAACACTTTAAAATTGGCAAACATTACTCTTTATTTATGTTGTGATATTAATTTTCTTCAATTTGTTTTTGGCTCACAACCAGTTAGAATTTATAAGTTACAGGAAACTCTTATGAATGGTAAAATTATGCCTCAAATTTAAGCATAAATCAAATCACATTAATAAAACTTCCTTGAATATTAAGCCTGTTTAACATCACCTAATAAGCATAACATGAGTGGAGGAATACACCAGAAATTTTCTAAATTTTTTCAGATTTTAAGAAGCTTGTTATTGTGTACATCGAGTCAACCATCCATAAAGTCAAAATAGCAGGGAACGCTCTGTTAAGCACACAGGGGTGGCAGCAGGGCCGGATTTACGTATAAGCTAAATAAGCTATAGCTTGGGGCCCAGAGATGGCAAGCGCCCCCAGATCCCACTTTTTTTTTTTTTTTTTTAAGTTTTATTTGGAGTTGGGGCCCTCTGAAGTCCAAAATGCATTTTTTTTCTCTTTTTTACAAGTCGGGCTCTTTTCAAAATCTAATCGAAGTGTTTACAAATATAAAATAATTGTTACTCTTCACTTTTCTAACCAAAAGAGCAATAAAACGCTCTTTTGACCGATGAAATATCCCGCTTTCGCAACAACCACCCACAGCATTGTCAAATAGCCGCCTCATTTTACACTGGGGGGGGAATATTTTTAGTTTCTTTAAATTGCTTTGGAAATTGCTTATTTCGGAAATATCGGATATCCACAGAAACACCTTTTTTCTGACTTCTGGTCATAAATTGCTTGGAACTAAAAATTTCTAGGGCTGTATTTAGGGCAAAAGTGAAAATCAAAATNTACAGCAGTTGGGTTTCTCTGTATTGTGCCATATGTTCTTCTACTTGACAAAGGTTTATAAGCCTTAATTGAGTATACAAGCCTACAAATGTATGTTGTATCAATAAACCAAACCAAAAAAGCATAATCTTTAAAATTTTATTTTGAGGGCGAAAAAACTATGCACAAAATACCTCAGAGGCAATAATTGTCAGAGAGGAAAAAATGAATTTGAATTTATCTTTTATTTGCGGAGTAATACTGATTTTTTTCTTCTTTTGCACATAAAACTTATTTTTTGTTGTTTTACGTCGGACTAGGGTGCACAATGGGCTATTGGCGACGGTCTGGGAAACATCCTTAAGGATGGTCCGTAAATATGCCATCACAATTTTGATCCCTTGCTTTGGTAGCCCAATGAACTGTGTGTAAATTCAAGCACTTCGCGGTAGAACAGTTTAAGGAGGACCGACAGTCCACCTTATTTCCTGGGATCAAATACCAGTTTCTTTTTTAAAATTTAGTTTAAGTTCAGAAATTTTTTAGTTAAGAAAATAAGAAACCATTACCTAAGAAAATCTAAAATTGCAGGAAGGTTATCAAAGGGCAAAAATAGATTCTTTAGCTTTAATACAACTTAACTAACATTTTTTGTTCAAGTAGTTGAAATCATAATAGAATCCTTATGCTGATAATTCCCAAAGTATTTCTAGCTATAAAAGTGCGTTAAACAAAAACAAACAAAAAAAAAGGAAGAAAAAGTGCATTTATGTTATTTTAAAAAATTAATTGCAAGTTGTTAATAAGACTGCTAAATGTTAGTAAGTTTAAAAAAATATGAAATAGTTTTTAAAATTCTTTAGATAAAATTTAGAATTCACATTCTGTTAACTACTTGAACACATTTTTGAACCTGAATCAAGTATACATTAAATTACATTTTTTCAAAAGTTACTATTAAATCAGATCAATATTAGGATTTTTAGAAAACAATTATTATAAGCAATGATTATTGGTTTTATTTTTATTTATTGGTATTTTTAAGGTCAAGACTATTTTTTGTTGAGCCCAAAAAGGATTTTGCAGGGTGCTTTTAAAAATGCACAATTTAAAATTTAAGTTTTAATCCAATAGGGAAGATCCTTCAAAGATATTCATCATACTCTTGTACGAGTAATATTAATAGATGAACAGTTTAAAACTATTAAGGCTTATAAACTTAAAGATGCAAAGAGAATTATTGTCATAAGTTTTATGAAATGTTGTTCAAGCAAAAATATAGAAAAGTTAGACTTATAATTAGAAATCAATGTATTAATAAAAAGTTCCTTTCGATTCTGAAAGAAAGAAATCGGAATCAAATATAGAGCTTAAGATAATTTTTTTAGCTTAATTATAATTGTTTCATATGTTGAATGTATAAATACAAGCTACTTGTTTTTATATCATGTTTCAATTGTAAATTATAAAAGTTAGGTAAAAGAAAGTAATTAAAAATTCACATCGAAATAAGGTCTTTTCCTTCATAATAGATTTAGGAATTTTTTAAATAAAGTTTTAAATTGTAATATCTGAATACCAGTGTTTTCCAGTGCTAATACCATGAAAGACAAAAAGAGTAGTAATAAAATAAATGAAATACAAAATTAAAATATTAGGCAGCTATTAACAGTTACCGCTGATTGCATGTTACTGAATTAGGAAAAGTTTTAAGTCACTCTTAAGTATTTGTGAGTATAAATCTGTGGTTTCTAAAATTTATTAGTTCTTTTTTAAAAAACTGAGATACAATTTGACAAATGTATAAGCAAATGGGCAGGTCAAGAATTTTTTCTTAAACTCAATATGAACTTGAATGAATAAATTTAAGCGAACGAGAATTAAATGATATTTCTTTTCTTTGGAAATAACAGGATATTTGAATATTATAGCTCAAGTTAACTAGGAGAACTTTTATTTATACTCTTTTTTCTAAAACAGTAATAATAAGAGTTTTATTTATAACCTAGTTTAAAGATGTTCATTATTTTTTAATTTCTTTAAAAAGAAAAACTAAAAAAAATATTTGTGAGGAAAATTTAGTCATGTTTACTTAAGTATAACTTTAAAATAAATTACATCAATGACATACAATGACTAGTGTTATAAAAAATTTATTATAACTCAAGAAATATTGAAGATATTTTTGAATCAACATTCTATAGGGAAAGATGTTACAGAAATCTAATTTTTTACTATCCAGGGCAGTGAAACAACCATTACTCAATCAATGTTTTTTGTATAAGTTTTATAATATGAATCTAATTTTGGAGTTTCCAAGTACAAATTTTTCTTCGATCTTTCACCAGCCATATACTGGCGCATACGCTCTTTTCGCATGGCAGCAACTCTTGCCAACTAAAAGAAAAATTAAAATTTTAAATAACAGATAACAAGGCATAAGTAAGCAATGCATTTTTTATAATGTCAATTTGAAAGTTTACTTTTGACAATTAAAGAGCTTAGTGGTAGAATATATTAACTGTTACATGACATTATAAAAATACTTTATTTTTTTAGGTTTCAAAATTTTTGGTGGTATATAGCTCTGCTGCTTCTTTGCATAAATTCTTGTGCTTTTGACTATAATTTCTAATTATATATACAGTTAGTTTATGAAGAAGGGTAATCGATTATTAATCACCAACAAATTGATTCATTGACACATGATTAAAATACATGTATGTAAGCATTTGTTCAAGTAACATCAGCTTTAAAATCTTAATCTTTTTTAAACACATTCCTTAATATTACAATTTTTAGTTAAATATATCAGATTTCATCGAATATAATTTAAGGCTGAATAATTGTAATACCCACTATTCAACTACTGCTAATTATCTGGTATATCAGCTAAGTATAGTCTAAGTATGTCTGGTATATTGGCAGCATGAAGTAAGCTAACTATATATTCATTTTTTTATTTATTTATTATAATTGTATCCAACAAATATTTTAGTTATTTGTGTGATCTCCCTTATTTCTAACAGTGTTTAAACAGGTGAAATTGTTCCACTAAAATTACCATTGAATTTGTTCCAAAAAATATTACCGAAGAAAAATCTTCTAAAAATATATTTTCACATAATAACAAAGTATCTAATGTACCTGCTGTATCTAATTCGAGCTAGATACAGCAGTTGGGTAGATTTATCTGTGACTTTGGACCTCTCCTTTATTTGTTACTAAAGGGTTTTTAAATAGGTGAAATTGTTCCACTAAAATTAAGTTTGAATTTGTACCTAAAAAATATTACCCCCAAAAAATCTTTTAAAAAATATATTTTCACGCAATAACAAAGTATCTAATGTAACTGCTGTATCTAATTCAAACTAGATACAGCAGTTGGATAGATTCATCTGCAATCATAAGATTAAAATTTTGATACATACACTTTTATCTCCAAAAAGGCATTCGTAATAGTCAGCTAATTCTTCTTTACATTGTTTTGTCAATCCTTTATGACCATATACATCAGTGCAATCAAGAACATTTAATTCAAGTTCACGACATCTCCAATAATGTTGGCAATTGCCAAGTTGAGCAAGTGCATCCCCAAATGGTGTTCGGAATGGTGAGTGTAAATATGGACTGATACCTGACATTATCTGTTGAAAAGGAATCAAAACAAATGAATCAAAATTGCTAAATATATCTGAAAATTGTCATAAATGTGTTCAAGTAGAGAGGAAATTTATAGCAATATGGATGAAACAAATTTGATAATTAAATGAATAGTAATTCAACTTTGATAGGACATTATATAAGATTAAAAAAAAAATTTTTTTTTAAGTAAAATAATTTGAAACAAATCTACACCAGTTCTGATTTCCTATAAAAACTTGTGTCACACATTATTAATTATTCTTTTACTTCCAAGTACTCTTGTGCTCCTATGAGAGTAACGTATTTCACTTTTTAAATTTTGTAATAGTATTGATGTTTTTTTTGGGGGGGGGGGATTTTTCGATGGAAAAAAATTAACTACAAAATTACGCATATATTATGTAGCTCTTACGACTGAATATTCTTAGAACATTCATTCTTCCTACAAGTTGAACATTCATGTACTTACACTTCAATACTACTATACTACTTGAACTCTTCCTACAAGTGTGTTTAAGTAGAGAAGAAATTTATAAAATAAGAAATTTATAAGAAGAATATTATAAGATTTCAAGAATTGTTTTTTAAGTTTCAAATCTACACCAGTGCTGATTTCCTAAAAAAAGTTATGTCATGCGTTATCATTTTTGTTAAATGTCAAGTATACCTGTGCTTGTACGTGAGCAATGCATCTCACTTTTTATATTTTGTAAAAGTTTTGGAATAATTAAACAGTTAGTATTGATGTTTTTTTTTGTTCGATTTTTCGATGTAAAAAATTAACTATAATGTTATGCATATATTTTGTAGCAACATACTCTTAGGACTGAATACTCTTAGAACACTAATTCTTTTTTTTTTTTTAAACATTTTGAATTAGTTTCAAGTTACTGAAATTTAAAACTTTGACTTTCTTTTTTTATACTACCTCGAAAAGTTAACAACCCATACATATTTTTTTTTTGTCTTTTGGACAAAGCACAGGATCCTGATTATGAGAAGCTGAAGCTCTAGACAAATGCTGAGAAAGAGGTTTTTACACTAGAATTTACAATAGAATTTTTATTAATCCTACATTAAAAAAATTCACAAACACATGCACAGTGCTGTTTGCACATTGTGCATCATGATCAACAAAAAGAGGACTTTTTCCCCTGGAAATTATAAAATTGTTTCCGTTGAAATATGGAGGGGTGTAAACTAAATCTTTGAGAGGATGTAGACACCGGGAAAACACAACTGTTTGAGGCTAAAGCTGGAGAGTTCTATTTTAAAGTAGAGATGCAAAGGTAATTTTAATTTGTAACATATACCTTAGCTTGTTGCTTCCAAATAAGGGGATAAACAAGTGGGAAGAAATCTTTTTTGTTAGAAATGAGTGTACTTCTCTACAAGAAAGAGGTCACAAATGGTAAAAGAAGGAAATAACATTTAAGTTTTTCATTGCTAGAAAAGAATTTCTCCTAAAATTGGGGAGATTTCCATATCCTGATCTGTGGCAGAGTAATCGCCAAGTCTTGGCAACTTCTGGGCAGCATCCCGCGAGAAATTTAAAAAAAAAAAATCAAAGAAAGGGACCAACTCGAAAGATATAACTTGTAACCACCCGTGGGCAAACATCTATTGGTATTTTTTTTAATTGCAAGTTTAAAATCTATTTGACATCTCGGCGATTGCAGTTGGCGCAACACATCACGATATGGAAATACACACCTAAAATGTTTTGTAAAACTGAAAATTATAAAATCAAATATTTATAGAACGAACCTATCTCATCCCGGCCTTTACCTAGTGACGCCATTTTTTTTAAGTTAATAATTTCTCAAATGTAACAAAAATGTAAGGTCACAGTTTGAGATACTAAGTCGTAACTTGATTAAAAGACATCAATAGTTCTCAACAATTTTATTTTTTCGTGCAAATTTACCAAATTTGTTTTGCCTACTGCACAGTACAATTTTTAAATATAATTTTGGAAAGGTTATTCAAGTTCATAAATGAATTCGAAATGAATGAATCCAAAGTAAATCTTCAGAAGGAGAATTGGAAACTTGTGTTTAAACTCATAAATTATATTTAATTCATGCATGAATAATTTCAGGAAAGCATATTTTTTATAAAACATATTTACGAAGCAATTCATCGAAATAAAATTTCCGTAGTTATCGTGTGAAGTCAAAATTTAATTCTAATCATAAAAAAAAGCTTAAGAAAAACAAGGACACGGATCATATTAAAATATTTTCATGTACATGGAACAGATAAATTATAACCAGTTATAAAATACTATAATAAATATTTTTATGTACATAAAACAGATAAATTATAACCAGTTATAAAATACTAACTTAATAATAACAAAACTTTCCGAAATATAAAAATTGGAAAAAGTAAACTTTACTTGTTTTGATAGGGTCAGACGGCGTATAACAAACGCTTCCGTTTACTTAATTTTATGATGTTTGCTAAAACATTGTTTCCGGTTTTCAATTAATTTTAATTTTCAATCTCCTCTTAATTTTTGAAAAATAAAATAACTTACTCTAAAAAAAATTGAGTGCAGATAACTACAAAATTGGAATTTAAAATGTTAATGGGATCAAATCAGTTTAAAAATATACGCTCAGTTATGAAATGAAGTGCATTGAATATGATGACAAATATAAACACAAAAAAATTTCACCCGTTTTCATCATTTTCAGAAGATTTTTCTGTACTCAGCTCTCCGTTTTTATTTCGAAATTAACTCTACAATATTTTATTGTTTTACAAATTTAAAAAAAAGCGAATGTAAGTATGAATATATATCTGTCGATTTACGTTTCGTTATGGCTATCATTTACTGTTCGATTCTAAAGCTTAATTTATACTGTAACACCTATATCTTAACAATGTTTGCTTTATACTTTATATATTTAATGCCAAATTATTTAAAGTTATTCAAAACATTGCTTTTTAAATCATTAGTTTATTTTAAGCTGGAGTAGTCAGTAGTTTGAAACTATTGTTACAGAAAAGCAAGTCATAACTTGAATATCTTAATTTGATACACAAGTGTGCTTTAATTGCTCTATAGAAATGTATTTATGTTATACTTAAAGTTATTCAATTCACGGTCTTGCTAATTTTTAGTTTTATTTTAAGCTAGAGTAGCAAGTTAGCTAGAAACAATTTTTATAAAAAGAAAAATGATAACTTATTTATTTTCTTTTGATACCTAACCAATTCTTTTATTGCTCAATTGAAATGTATTCATATTATTAATAATTAAGCGTGTAGAATAAGTTGTTTTTGGATTGAATGCTGTAGCTTAGAGCTTATATTGTATATAAAATCTTCCATTTTCCTATTACTTCTGGAAACTTTAATTAGAACTGTTAAAATTGGAAACTGTTACAGACTTAATTTATACAAATGTTAAATATATACCTACTGGGAGATATTAATTTATGCATTTCTATAGGTTAAACCAACTTTTTTTTAAAGGTGTATATTCTGTAGATTGACAATACTGTCCATTTTATATAAATATGGTAAAAATTAATCAGCTGTCTGTCTAGGTTTTTCTGTAAGGTACCTATTTTGTGAAAATTTTGACATAATTTGCGAAAATTGAAAATTATTTTAAAAAATCTGCACAAAAATATTGTTTATCGTTTCTTACGGATACAAAAATAAAGTTTTAAGAAAAATTATATTGTGAAACTACTGTTTTTCCTATAGTTGAATTTGTGAAGGTATACAACGGATACAAAAGTAAAATTTTAAGAAAAATTATTTTGTGAAACTACTGTTTTTCCTATAGTTGAATTTGTGAAGGTAGCGCTAAACGGTAGTAAATTTGACCTGGACAGACCCCTGTTAATATATTGGTCACATACATGACTCTCTCTGATTTTATTTTCAGGTTAGCTTTTGGAAGTTGCAATTAGTTATTAAATAAAGTAATATTATAGACTAAACTAAAAACTTAACTCAGTGGCGTGACAGCCCATAGAGGGCCAAGGCCCACTGTGCCAGTCTCAGTTTTCTTGACCCTGGGCTCTGGGGTGCAGGAACAGATGCAAGATTAGGTGGTCAGTCGAACGCGTAGCCCAAAGTGTTTAGTTCCCAAGCATGCTTGGTGCTCATTTATCGACCCACTGAAGGGAGGAAAAGCTGTAATATTATAGAAATGAGTTAAATTTAGTTTGTTAAAAGAACTACGTGAATACTTAAAAGAATGGAGAACTAGTCAACTTTTAATTTTATGATGTAGCTAAGTAAACTAGCTACTGAGCTTAAAGCTAAATATAAATATTTTACCTCCTACAGGCCCAATTTTGTTCTGAATAAAAATAGCAAATAACGTGCGAAGTAGTTGCTCTGGTCATCTAGCACAGAGCTCATTCTAGGCAGAGTAAACAGGGCGGAGCACCCTGCTGCCCTTTTAGCCTAAAGAATCCGCCCTGTTGCCCCTGAAGTAAATTAGTGCCCTGATTTAATAAACTCCATACCCTTTTTGCCCTTTCTTTCCTCAACCCTTCTTTATTTTTTCCCCAAACTCTACAATGGATTTCTTAAACTTTAGTTATTTTCAACTTTTTTTTTATTTAGTTTGGCATTGCTGTCAATACATAGATTTATATGGGAAAGGAAAAATATCCATCACACCCCCTTGTTGCACTTGTGTTTGAAAGTTTGCAGTTATTTCCACTATCATTAAATCATAATTATTATTAATCATTTTAATTATTAAATCATAACTACAGACACTTAAAAATATACATTTATTATTTTATTAATATATGCATGCATTTTAAATAAATTACTAAGTTAATTAGCTCATTAACCTGATATATCTGTTAATTTATTAATAAGAATTAGTAATTAATATGATTACTTTGCTACTTTTAGTAAAGTAAAAAAAATTTTTTTTTACTAATTGAAAATGTTTTTTAATAGAGCGTGTATAGCCCATAGAAAGAAATTATTGCCTTTTTAGAATAATGATGCCCTCTTTTTTAAACTTTTGCACCCTGCCCTTTTTCTGCTTAGAATGAGCTCTGATCTAGCATACGCAATGCAGAGATAGTTACATGATGGAACCGGTTTTACTTCATCACCTTAATGTGAAACTACTGTGAGGCAAATATTTACATAAGAAATTAAACAATTAAGAGGCTCTGCCCTTTTAGTTGCATATTTGCTTATGTATCTTTAAATAAAATCATTTTTTTAATATATATCTTTTAGGAAAGAAATGGTTTAACAAATAATTTTAATCAGTAAGAAATTCATTTTTCAAAGCTTTGTTTATTATTAAACTCAAAATATAGTTTTTCAGTAAGTATTTATAATTTTTTTTTTCATTTTCTTCATTATTGGAAGAAATCAAAAATTTTCTTTAATCTATGTTTGGTTCATTAATAACTTTTGAGATTTTTTTTTTACTGCTCCTATGTTTTTACTTTTTGGCTTTATAAATTTTGATCTAGAATTCTTTTCGAAATTTCCACTTTAACAGAACTCTCAGAAAATTCTTCAACAACCAATATTTTTTTAGCCTAAACACATTAATTAAATTTTTTCTTTTTCTTTACTTTTTTAGTCTCCTAAAAATGAAGCTTATTAGTATTAGAATTGAACAAAAAATATACATATTTCGACCCATTTGACAGTATTTGTTGAAAATGTTGAGAAGAAAAAGTTCAGAAAAGAGAATGCTACATTTTAAGTAATAAGCAAGAAATTCTTGATAACTTAGTGATGAATTTGAAGTGAAGTGTATTGAGGTTTTGTGTAAATGCACAATTTTGTATATATCAAAGTAATAAATTGTGAGACAAGGAGAGGAATATTAAGAGCAACTGTAAATAAGCAATATGTTGGTTAAATTCCTGTAAGAGAAAAAATTTATAAAATGAATTAAATTTCAGTTTTAAAGGCAAGTTTCTTCTAGAATTTAAAAAATCACTCGTGCAAATTGAATTTCTTTCAATTCGAGTGGAAAAACCTATTTTTAAATGAGAAATATCAATCGTTAAAATAGATTATAATCACAGTCTACTTTATATGTTTTATGCAAAGAAACATAGTGAAACTTAATTATATATATATCTAAGGAAGTTTTAAAATGTCTTGATCAAGTTTTATAAATGTAATTAAGTTAAAAATAATAACTGTAAATAACATAATAGCATATGAGCATCCTGTTAAACAGAGATTCATAATCATTTATCCCACAGACCCAGAAAAATGTGTAAACACCATAGTAAGACAAAAAAATAATAATAATGTATCTGTGCACACAATCCAATAGTATCTGCAAGCTCATAATATTTTTTTAGTGCAAAACGATTTTACTACATAACAAAAACGACAAAAAGCATTTAACTATGTAGGTAACATATTTACTTATTCCTGACATAAAGAGCAAACAAACAATATATGCAAGCACATTAACATTAAGAATATTTGAGGAAGAAATAGTTTTAAATAAAAATTAAAGAACTGTGTTCATATTAAGTAATTGTTATCATATTAAAAATGAAATGTTATTAATAATTTTACTTCTATAATTCTTCACCGGGAAATCCATATTTAGCTCATATTTCGTGTCAAACTGGGGCACTTTTTTATTAACAAATGAAATTACATTAAATGATTTCCTATTTTCACTGTAATTGTTTATTTTCCTTGTAAAGCAATAGTTGTGTACAGTTGTTTGCTCATTCGCTAACGATGGGATCATTAATTTTTGGGCTGAGTGAAACAACGAAACAACTTTTTTCTACATTGCATAAATTATTTTATGTTGTTTGCTTCTTATTTTATTGTTTTGCCTTCAAACATGTTTGTTTTTTTTATTCGGATACTTTTTTTGATGTAGTTGATGTTAATTTTCTTTAATTAACTAATTTTCTTTAATTAATATTTAGAAATCTTCTATGTTTTCGAGAAAATATTTAAGAAAATAAAAACAGTAATGAATGAGATTCAACTATGATGGTTGACAAGCGGAGTTAGAAGGATACAAAGCCATCAAATATAAAATTTTTTCTGTAAAATTGGAGAATCTCTGCCAGTGTATCCACACATGTGCTTCTGTATTATCTAATTATGGTTTACACTTGTAACTTTTATAGTGAAAAAGATAAAAGGATGGACTAAGTACCTTGCGAAATTCTTAGGCAAATGTTTATGAATAGTGCGTGTAACTCCCATGAATGTTTATGAATCTGGGGGCAGATCGTCAGAAAACCTCTTACTAGATAATATGCAAATGGTATTTTTAAAAATTGAAATAAAAATGAAACCAGTTAAAAAAAATCTCAACAAAGTATTTTTTTTGATGTAATTCTATTTTAAAACTGGATGTTCAGGAAACTAATACATAATTTAGGTATAATTGAACATATTTATTTAGGAAACTGATAACTTGAAATCCAAATTAAAACTTTATTATATTGTAGCAGAAATTTTAAAACTTTTTAGAAAACTGAAGAAAAAATTTTTTTTTATAAAAAAATGAGTGAAAAAAATTTCAATTTTCTTGTACAATATTAAATTTTATTTGTTTTAGTTTAAACTACTCTTACGTTTATCACTAAACAATTGTATTTGTCGTAATGTTTCCAATTGATTAAAAATCTCAATTTAACTGTTGTCGGTTGCCTTGTCGACTGAATTTTCTATTTTTAATGTCACTTTGTTTAATCATTTCAATTTTAATTAATCATTTCAAGTTATATTCTCTTTTAGACCTTAAAGTGTTTCCTATTTCTAAAAAGTAACATTTTTGAGCACAAATTCTTCTTCTTTCTAGACTATAACCAGACATACTTCGTTTGCTATGCTTTTGGTCTAGTTAAGGGGTATAGATATCTCTATTCCCATAAGCAGAATATTTTCAAATGTTCTGCAACAGGACTTATTAATTTATACAAATGTTCTGCAAGCATTTCGCAGCGAAAAAGTAAACTTTACTTTAAAATACTATATTTTCATTTATTAAAATACAGGGTCATACACAGATACACTACATTATTTTTAAACCACGGCAAACATTCTTGATTTGTTAATTTTTCAATCACTTTTGAAGTACAAAATTTTGTTAATGACGATGATGAGGATGAATTATTAATTTAATGCCTATGATATGAAGGTCCGAACATTAAAATAAGAGCTGCCTTAAAAATCTTTCGAAGGGACAAGTGCCCAGATGGTGCACCATTTGCAAACACAAAAATTCGCTGGTAAATAATATACGCATCACATTCAAAGCAAGCAACTCTATCACCCTCACATGCAGACATTTTACTGAAGTTTGTATTAGCAGGTTTTTCAAGTTGTGATATATTGCGCAGGTGACCAGTTCGGACATTCCCATAGTTACAAAAGCCAATGGGAAAGTGTCCTATCCATGGGAGGGGGATTCGCAGGAAAACGCTGTCGTTTATTCAAGATACAAATTGTTCGGCAGGCCTTCGTTTGTTCTGCGACGTACGTCACAGTTTTAGGCACTTTCAGCTTCTGGCTCTCCATTCGTTATACTTTTGCAATATATTATGTGAGTGCAATATATTATGGATGGTTACTCTGTTCATAACGCTGTATTGGTTAAATATTATAGATTGTTCTTTATAACAAAATTTTATATTATAATATGATTTTGAGATAAGCCTTTAAAATTTTTAAAAGTTTGTTTCTTATTTATTTGTTTGCCTTTATTTGCTTCTATTTTAAAGTGTTTTACTTTGTATTCATCATTCAAAAAATATTTCTTTCCAGAGTTTCAGCAGATTTTGTTTGTCATGGAAAATATAAGAAGTCCTAAAAGTCTCACCAAAAGTACAAATTCTCAAAATGCTGGCGAAAATAAAATCTCATGTTCTGAAGCTAAAAACAAAGAGAGTGGTGCGGTGAAAAAGAAAACTAAAGCTGTATCAGAAGTTGCACCTGTTGAAGGTAGTTCACCAAAGAAAAAAAGTGGTAAGTCTAGGGTGCGAAAGAAGAAGGTTAAGTCAGAAATCGAAGAAAAAATTGATTTATCGGATAGATCTCAGAATGGTCTGGGTTCCAGTTCAAGTACAAGTGAAGTAATTTCTAACTTTTCATTAAAAATGAATTCTACTGATAATATGAGGAATACTAAACAAAGTAGAAGAACGTCCTTGCCAGTCGAGCTTAGAGAACAACCTCAAAGTACACCTAATAAAAATACTCCAGATAAAAAGCCTTCCAACTTTAGATCTAAAACTCCAGAATGTAAAAATTTTACTAAGCCAGGAGTTAAAAAACCTAGCTCAGTCAGAAAAGGCATAAAATTTGAGCCTTATATTCCTCTTTTTCAAGTTCAACAAGGATTGAAACGTGGCGAATTTATTGAAGGAGCTTTAAGAATCAATCCAAGGAATTATGAAGATGCTTATGTCAATTCACCAGATGGAAAAATGGATATTTATATTGGTGGTATGCAAGCTAGAAACAGAGCTCTAAATGGCGATCATGTTTGTGTCCAAATTAACCAAAAACAAGAGTGGCGTGTATTATGTGATGCAATTAAAGATTACCAAGAAAAAAGTGGAGAAATTATTTATGAAACTATAGCTAAGTCAAAAACTCCAAGTCCCTGCAAAATTCATACTCCAGATAAGTTGAGATCACGTGCAGTTTCTTCAAACTCTTGGGATAGTGCTTGTGGAGAACGAATGCCAGATACTGTAGAAATTTTAGGTGTAGATAAATTAGCTCAACAATTCAGTGATATAGCATTAGGTCAAAGACCAAACTTCAAGTCTTGTGCAAACAAAAGTTCAAAATCAAAAGAAGGAAGCAGTGAAAGTGACAAAAATGTTTCTTCTTATATACAGTCTCAGGGATCTTCAGAAGATTGCTTGGACAAACTTTCTCCTCTAATTGGCCAGATTCATCATGATTTAAATAATGGGATTTTCCAGGGAAACCAAAGAGATAACAACTCTTCCAATGTTCCTGAGAATTATTCCACTTTTTCTGGTTTTCCCTCAGAGACATATCCTCCTTGTGATATGAATGATATTGGAACATTTAATTTGGAAATGCAATCAGATGAAGCTTCTAAGTCTTGGGAAGGTGATGAATCCGGATTTAACATTATAGTATCACCTGAAGATTTATTAAGTATTGATGGGAATTCATTACTGAATCATGATAACCATAGTTGGAAATGTAATGACAACCATGATAATAGTGACAGTGAAATTGGTGGTATTATAGTCCCTCCAGGTGAACTTTCTGGAGATGAATTTACTGATTCAGCAAGTGTTGACAGTACTCATAGTCAAACCTTAGATCAAGTGATAGAAGATGCTGCATTTCTCGCATGTCAACAAGATGCTGAGAACAATAATGTTGAAAACAATATGAATCCTGTGACAAATTTTGATTTGGCGAGAATATCGACCACTTCTAATACATCCATTGTATCTAGAGACAAGTCACTGGAAATGGAATGTAAAATACAAAATATACAAAATAATCCACCTCTGTCATACTATGAAGTTAATTCTGATTCTGTGATTTGCTCTGCTGTTTCAGAAACACATGTTTCTAAATGTTTAAGTAGCTCAGATGAAAACTTAAACCAGCCTGTTATTGAGCATCATATTGGTTTCAGTGCTGATGCAGGTACAGAAGTGACTTCAGATATTAAAAAGAATAAAAAATCAAGACATCGAAGACGGCCTAAACGTGGAAAACAAAAAGATCAATCAGCGTCTGACATAACTGAGGATGTACAAATGAACTTGAGTGATCTTACTGTTGAACAAGTTATGGAACATCCCTTGTGGCCTCAGTTTATTCAGAAGACAGGAAAAGTTGTTCATGTCTTACAGACGAAACATTCTTGTATAGCAGCTGGTCATTTGAAGCTATGTAATGACAGAAATCCCAAGTGGGCCTTGTTTTCACCAAATGATAGTCGTGTTCCTAGAATGATGATTCCTATTTCTGACTGTCCTCAAAACTTTTATCATCGACCAACTGATTATTCTAAAGTCTTGTTCTTGGGTCAGATTGTTGAATGGAACGAAACATCGACATTTGCTTCTGGTCGCTTAATAAGAACTCTTGGGAGTACTGGTGATGTTGAGGCTCAAACTGAAGGTATGCTAGTTGAAAATTCTGTTGAGTATGGAGAATTTCCAATTGAAGTTTTGAATTGTCTTCCTGAGGGAGAGGAATGGTCTATTCCTGCTAATGAGATAAAAGGCAGAAAAGATTTTCGCAAAGAATGTGTGTTTACTATCGATCCTGCTACAGCTCGTGACATGGACGATGCAGTTTCCTGTGAAGTTTTAGATAATGGTAACTTGGCGGTTGGTGTACATATTGCAGATGTAACATATTTCGTTGAGCCAGATAATGACTTGGACAGGTTTGCCCAACAAAGAGCTACGAGCGTCTACCTTGTACAAAGAGTTGTGCCAATGTTACCCCGCAAACTCTGTGATGATTTGTGCAGCTTGAATCCCGGTAAAGATCGGTTAACATTCTCTGTAGTGTGGGAGATTTCACCTACTGGAGAAATACTTCAACACTGGATAGGGCGATCCATAATTAAATCATGCATAAAATTAAGTTATGAACATGCACAAAGCATGATAGAAAATCCCAATAAAGTTTGGTCTTCTACAGAACACCCAGAAATTTATGGCGGCTTTCATATAAATGATGTAATAAAACGAGTGAATCAGCTCAATGCCTTAGCTGTGAAATTGAGAGAACAACGATTCTCTAATGGTGCATTGAGACTAGATCAAGTGAAATTGCAGTTCACATTAGATTCAGAAACTGGTTTGCCATCTGGTTTCAATGTTTATATGCAGAAAGACAGCAATAAACTTATAGAAGAGTTTATGTTGTTGGCAAATATGACAGTAGGGAAAAAAATACATGATACATTTCCTGGACTTGCTTTATTGCGTCGTCATCCTCCTCCGCAAGCAAAACCAATGCAAGATGTTGTGTCTATGTGTGAAGCTGTTGGCGTTATTCTTGATGCTAGCAGTAGTGGTGCACTTCATGATTCAATTGCTTATTATAAAGGAGATGATTACATGTCTCAAGCCAAATACGAATTATTAATGCACTTATGTTCTAAGCCAATGAAACCAGCTGCTTATTTCTGCACAGGCGTTGTATCAGACCCTTCTAGTTTCCATCACTATGCTCTTAACGTTCCAATTTACACACATTTCACTTCTCCAATCAGGCGTTACCCTGATATACTGGTGCACAGGCTGTTGGGAGCTTCGCTTCGATACAATGCTCCACCCCTAATCAGCGCTGCGGAAATGGAGAAATGTGCACAACACTGCAATGAAAAAAAATACAATGCTAAAAAGGTTAGTGAACAGAGTGCTGAACTATTCCTTAGTGCTTTTATCAGTGAGTTAGGTTGTGTGCATGCAAAGGGTATGGTGATAGGTGTTATGGATCATTCTTTTGACTGCCTGATTTTAGAGATGGGCTTGGTTAAAAGAGTTTATTGTGATGGCTTACCCCTGGTGAAAAAACATTTTAAAAGATCGCATGGAGTGTCTATGCTGAACTTGTTTTGGAAAGATCCTGAAAAGCCAGAAGGAATAGAGCAGGCACTTGTTATTTTTGCTCTTGTTGATGTAGTACTCTCTGCTGTTAAAGATACCTTGCACCTTAATGTAACGCTGAAAAAGCCTATTCAATGAGTTGGTTTGGCATCAGTATTTTGACTAAGTGCATTATTTATTTGTTATTTTAAATGCACTAATTTTTATTCTTTACATTTAACATAAAAAATACTAGACATTTTTTATACATGTGCCTTTTTATTTTTAAACTATAAGGTTGATTTTAATATTAAGGCTTTAAGTTTAAGGTTATTTAAAATTTAATAAATTAATTATTCATGTCACTTGAAATTCTGATTATTATTAATTGTTTTCAATTCATCTACTAATTATTTTGATAGTTTTAATGACCTATGAACTGTATAAGATTTGTTAGCTAAAAATATACAGTAGAGAACCGATTATCCAGAACGATCGGGACCGGATAACTGATTTTTCGGGTTTTCTGATTCGCCACAAAACTGCTTTTTTTTTTTATTGTTTATCAAACCTAACTTAAAAAATATGATTTAGAAATAGTTTTAAAAAGAAGAAAAAACGAGAAAGTCCAGCACAATACATAAGTTTAATAAGATAAAAAGGAAAAAAATAAAATAATGAAATTTAAAATATATACAGAAATATATACTTTCTTCCTTTTTTTTATTTAGAAATGGGGGGAAAATTTATGGAATTTCATTCCTGGTTTCTGGATAAGAGGTTCTGTACTGTATTTCAATTTTAGTACAAGAAACATACGAGTTTTTTTTTTCATGGTTTGAAGGTTGTATTTTAATAAAATTATTGTCTTATAAGGTACTTATTTAGTTATAAAAATAATAAGTTATATTTTAAAAATATGTAGACATAAATTTCAGATTGTATTTATTTTTTGATTTTGATTCTTTATTTTATCAAATATGTAAAAATATTTTTACATTTTGTCCTCGTCAAATTAATTCTGGTGAAGCAAACATAATCTTGATTATTTGCTTAATAGATATCATTAGAAGTAGAACTTTTCAAAGACGTAGTAACAAGCAAAAAAGTTTGAAATAAAATTTTTAGCTTCTTTATAAATTTTCTTTATTTGGAGACATAATCTGTAATATATTGTACAATCAGCTTTTGTCATTATTGTCCTCACTGATCTTTGTAACATACAGTGCNGCTATTCTCATTAGGTTGCTCAAATGCCTATCAGTCAATCTGTTACGATATTTTGTCTTAATCTGGTTTTGGGTGCTAAATGACCTTGCAACAGATGCTGAATTATTCGAAAACACTTAAGTAAATTTGTAGCATTGTGCACACACTTTCCTATCCTCTACATCAGCCAGCATAGGCTTTTAAATTATTTCTGCCATAAAATCGTGAAGTACGTTGAAGTTCTTTCCAAGTTCATACTTCATGCTAGTATTTTATCCATATCCGTTGAATATCCGTATTTGTTTCGTTTTTACCGTTTCTACCGACATTTGTTTCATTTGTCTTAACAATGTATTTGTCCATCTTACAATCAGGCACAAAAAATTTCAACGTTTTACATGAAGAAACCTTACCTACGGTGAACACATCGTTGCAGAAAAATGTGTTCTGAAAGGGGTTCGAGGGGGGGTGTTCTGGTTCTGAACAATACTGGTAAATAGGGAAGCTAGATAACAAGGACCGATATTGAAAATAATGAAAGATCAAGGAAGAAAAACGAAGCGGATTTCATTCAAAATGGCGGAAGACGAAATTTTTTCCAAAATTCGCGAGATTCGCGCATTTTGAAATTCATTAGTAGGGTGCGCGAACTTCTCACGTTAATAATTTTTTAATGTGAGGAAAGAAAAAAATATGCGAGATTCTCGCGCTGTAGTGAAAACACTGCATAAATTTCCGATAGTATTTATTTTTTGATTATGATTAATTTTTTGATTTTATCAAACATGTAAAAATATTTTTACATTTTGTGCACATCAAATTAATTCTTGTGAAGCAAACAGAATCTTGATTATTTGCTTAATAGATATCATTAGAAGTAGAACTTTTCAAAGACGTAGTAACAAGCAAAAAAGTTTGAAATAAAATTTTTAGCTTCGTTATAAATTTTCTTTATTGTGAGACATAATCTGTAATATATTGTACAATCAGCTTTTGTCATTTTTGTCCTCACTGATCTTTGTAACATACAGTGCTACTATAATATATAAAATTATTTTTTATATTGTAAACAACATACTATATGTTTTTTATCTTATAAATTAATTTGAAGATGCTTCTATGCAAGAACTAGAATCTAAAGCATGAAATCTACTCTCTTCCTGTCTACTGCAAACACCAATTCAAAATTGAACTTATTTAAAAATACTTTCATATTTCAATTAGTGTACTAAGAATACTAATTGTATTAATATATATATTTTTAAGTTAATTTGCATTTATTGCCCTTTAGAACAGGACTGTGAAGTCTGTAATTAGTCTCCAAATCTGGACTTTTTTGAAAGCTTTATTATGATTAAAATTTTCACTGAATCCTGGGAAAATATTGAGTTAATTTCAATTTTTTATGCTTAATTAGAACTAAATGTTTCTTATTTCAATTTTTTTTTATTGCAACATTCAATTGAGGAAATAAATTTTAATGAAATATTGAAATTGTGCAACTGGAAGTAAATTTTTTTTCATTCAATCATCACATTATGCCTTTTACAATTGTCCAATAGTTTGGTTTTTCATTAATCTTCTGTTTTATTTTTCATTAGCTCTATCAAAAATTAATTTTATTTATTTTAAGATCAGATAGTTTTTAAATAATTGTCAAAATATTCATTTGAGTACTATTTTTATAATATCCAAGATTTCTTTTAACATACACAAGGTCAGACTTTTAACTTGTCTGACAAATTTCTCTATTTCTTGCATATTTTTACTTACCGATTTTACAGCTTACTTTGTTCTCTCAGTTCTCTTTTGTATGTCCTATTATTAATGTCTTTCTAACAAGTTATGAAACCAGCTAGATTCTTTATACACTGATAAATTTGATAATGTTAGTAGAATTTTTTGTTTTCTTACTCTTAACTTTAAAATATTAAATTTAAACTCTTGGTTTTTATTCATATCTATCAATATTTTCCTATCACTTTGTTAATTTCATATTGTAATAATTTTGTAGTAAAAATGATGAGAGTAGTACATATTATTTGTTTACCACCCCTTTGGTTTAATTTAAAGATGTGTTTAAAATATATTGAAAAATAAATTTCTTTGTCTTATATCTTTTTATACTGTTTCAATTACAATATTCATTACTTAAAAGAATAAAACTTTAATAATATATTGCGGGTATATTACTATAACTAGAAAGCTAAATATTTTAATTTTGTATGATTGGATAAGATTTGCGATACTAGATAACTCTTCAACTAGCTGTATGTGGAACCTAAAAGTAAGTGTTTGAACTGAACAACTAATATGACAAAAACTAAATTTTATTTTTTTGAAATAGCTGTTATATTGGAAAAATTTACTGTCCCCATAGGTCAACTGTATATAATGGTCTCCACTTTTCTCTACTTTTTTCATCAAAAATGCAATACATGTGCTTATTATTTTTTTTAATAAATATGGGTTAATTATTATATTTTTTAATATTTTGAAAATTACCTTAATTCACGCTAGTTTCTTGATTTTTCTTCTTCTTCATTTCAAAAATAAATCTTGTTTTATTTATCATATATTAAGAAATGTTTAAAAAAATGCCTTACATTATTAATATAAATTTTTTTTATTCGTTTAAAATTTTCAATTTTTGAACAAGTAGCCACTGTCAAAAATTCCACTACTGTCCAATAGCAAAATGTCCTAATTTTGTATCTAGTTATAATATTGTAACCATAATATGAATTATGTTTTTACCTGCCAATCTACTTGGATAAATATATACTGAAATTACCTTAATAATTTTTTTATTGAGTAAAAGAAAAATGGATTTATTGTAAGGTAAAGTAGCAATTATTCAAAAATCCAATTTTCCAAAAATTTTTTTAATATTTCTTTTCTGATAATCCCTAGAAAAAAAATTAACCCTTAGATTTTTGCTACATCCTTTTTTCCAAAGACATTCCTTCCCCCCTTTTTTTTAATATCTGTACCACAGTTTTATAATCTAAAAATAATCGCTTACAAAATGCTTGTGACAGTGTTCCAGTTCTGAGTCAATACTTTTCATAATATTTTTATGAAGCATCACATTCATAAAAAAAAGATAATTTTGGTCTTTTATATTAAAGATAAATATTTTCTTCTTATTTCCGTTCACTTTTCCATCAATTCTCATTTATCTCTTCCGCCTTAACGCCTGATAATACTCAAGATTCCAAGACAGAGCTTTGTACTTCAATTTTATTTAGACTCTCTTCACAATAGGTTACGATGTGCTGTTAAATATATTAAATATCTGTGCCTTATGTTTTTATTAATTAAATGCTTGTTCCAGTTTTTAAAAAATAAAACGAAAAAACCCCAATAAAATCGAATTTCTGAATGGGATTTAGATTTGGACAAAGAAAATTGAATTTCTACAATTAATAATAATAATTGTAGAAAATAAGGATAAGAAATTTTTCTTTCTTGCTATCCCTATTTATTGTTACATTTTCCTATTGGGTTGTATTTTGTTCCTCTATATAATGAGTAGGCCAATAACCTAAATGCACATAATTTTTTGTACTTGAATGCGTACTTTAATTAGGGCTGATGAACATCCTAATTGTATAATTTTTTTCCTCCAGACATTCAAGCTAGCTGGGACAATTAGCATGAATAAAATAAAATTAATAAAACGAGCTTATTCTAGTTTGTTTTTTTCGTCCAAGATTTAGTTGTAATGGTTATATAATAAACTATATAACAAAGCAATTCACGAACGAAAATGTTCTATATAATTGCGGCTCAGTGAAAAATAAATGGCTCAATGCATCATTTAATTAATCGTTAACTTAATATAAGCGCAGTAACAAAAATTCATTTTGTTATTGATGTAAGATGGAGTAAAATAGACGTTACAGAGCACGTAAGTATGAAAATTCTAGTAAGTGAACGTCATTTAATTAAATTTAGCGAAGGCTTATTTCCTACTTTAGTTAATATTATTTGTATCTTATTTATGCACGTGAATTTCAGTTAATATTTTTATTAAAATGTTACACTGTTGATGAATATTTAAAAAAATGTTTTATTTGAAAATTTCATAATAGTAATTATTAATTATAGTTTCTTGAATAGAAGATACAAAGTAGAATATGTAGCTTGAAAATAACATATTTTCTGGTTTAACAAACCTTTCTAAATCCGATGGTTTTGATGTTTACTTGCTGTTTAACAAGCATGTTTACTTTTTAACTATTAAGTATTACCATAATTATAAATCATATGTCGTTAATTCATTCTTTGATAAAATTCTTGAACTATCTTAATTAAACAAGCTGCTAAAGTAAATGTTTTAGATCAAGACAAGTTTACTGTAATTAACAGATCATAATTATTTTCTTTTCTTTTTTATTCCCTTGAAACAATTTTTGTAATTTCGGCAAAGATTATGATTTTTTGAACACTTACTAGAAAGGTGCTCAAAATC